TTTTGATTTGAAATCTTTTGCGTTTTGCATTTTTTGAAAGTTTGATTACTTGCCAAAATGCAAATATCCATATTGCCTGGTGTGAATTACGAGCAGCGAACACGATTCGTAGCCGTGGGCGATGCGCGCAAACGTGCGGCAGGCACCACACTTGCTCGCCTGCAACGAGCCGGCCGTGTTTAGAAAGTAACTTCTTGTGCATCGGAGCGAATGCCGTGCGAAGTATGCTAAACGCCGTTCGCTCATTCACAGCCCGATGATATAATGCATGCGCGGCCGGGGCACCGTTACGAAAATTATTATGTGAAAATCCGATCGTGATAATTGAAAACTATACGCGCATGAGCGCATAATTACGAATCGGCGACCGTTTAGCGCGCTCATCCGGCGTCTAAATAACAGCGGCGCGACGAAACGCAACAACGCTCACCTTGCGCGGTGTTTAAGCAAGCATTGGGAAAATGAAGTGCCGGCGAAAAGTCGGCTCATTGATAGTCACGGAAAGAGGTGCGGCGGGGTGAAGAGATACGACACATACACACGATGGGCACGAAGGTCACGCGGCTATCAATTTACATGCGTTTTTACTTTGTGTTACGAACGCACAAAGTTTTCCTGGTCATACCTACTCGTACGTACCAACAACGAACAAAAATTTATTAAATTCTCTGCATTTATATTCCTGCCATGGTGAAAGAAAGGACGTCAATCGTCAAGGTTACACCGGTTTATTTTTACATTTCATATCTTATAAAAAAAGCAATTAATGCAATAGCTAATTGTGTTAAGATAAAGATCGACCGAGCGCTTTGTGAAAAATTATTGCTTAATTTAACGTCTGCGCGTAGAGATCCGTTTGCGCTTTGATTTCGATTGCGACGATGAAAACAACAAGAATGCGCGTGCGCTGCGAGTAAATCAGATCTTGCTTGCGGATAAAGGTAGTACAATTTATTTTAATTGCAATCGCATGGATTTTATTTTATTTTTATTATAAATTCATTTCATTTTTATATTTAAGCATAGGTTAAAATGATAAAATTTCGAAAAATGTCTGAAACTAAGTGGTGTCTAATCAAGATCATGTTCGCTGATTTGTAACGTTTTTTTTTTGCGCGCGTTGTTGTTGTGTTGTGTTGTTGAAACTTTCGAACCCATTATTCGGTCATCACCTGTAACGCACACTCGCACTTTGGCTTCGGTGGTGTGGACGCCGTGGAGTCAAGTTCAATGAATATTCGCGCAACGCAGGCGAATCATAAATGTCGAGAAGAACAACCTCGCGGATGTTCTAACGATCCGCGAGCCGCATCCACGTCTGATATCGATCTCGCAGACATATTACCATATAATAACATTACGTGCTTTTAATTTGATGCTTTTAAATTGCAAATTACACGTTTCTGTTATAATTATATAGAATTTAACTCTTTTTTTTTTCAGTGTGTGTATGCTTATGTAGTCAGATTTTTTTCGGCGAGTCAGATCATCGCCAAAACTCACATAACTTAAGTTCAATAACATTCAATAAATTACCGATTCGCGTATTTAGTTTATTCTGGACGTTGAGATATGTGTGGGATGTTTGAATTGTTAATTTAAATGTTAATATAAATTGTTGTATTAATTTGTGAACATCATGCTGGAATTTTTTAAATGCGGATGTAGGTGTCGCCAGAAACTATAATATAAATTATCACGCAACGATTTTTCAAATAAAATTTAATTTTTGAGGTTAAAACTTCTTTAGAATCGTTGTGATTTCAAAATTAATGAATCGACACTAAAGAGAAACATAAATATTCGTTTATATGATTTAGCCTGCGAGAGAATAAGAGAACTATTCATTATTTTTTTTTCCAATTTAACTAGCTTATTATATAGTTAATTTTCCTTAGATTAAGTCCCTGCGATTGAAATAAATCGTCAAAAATTGAAAATTGCAATTTTTAACACTTTCAGTCACGGTAGGAGTGACTCGTGTTCAGGGTACCGTAGGAGGGTAGCGGTAGAAGTGACTCGTGTTCAGGGCACCGTAGGAGGGTAGCGATAGAAGTGATTTGTGTTCAGGGTACCGCGCAAGGGCAGCGGTAGAAGTGACTCGTGTTCAGGGCACCGTACTTGGATGACTCCCATTTGCCCAATATTTCTTATGAATTAAAATCTCATCACTTATATATGAATTTTAATTAGATTACCTTATAGACAATTTTCCGTAGATTAAGAATTTGAAATCTTTTTGTATATATCTTTTTTAATTTACGAGATATTCGCAATTAAAATAAATTCGTCAAAAATTGCAGTTTTTAGCAGTTTCATCGCGTTTTTATACCATTTACCCCATGAAATTAAATTATTTTAATTTTCCGTCTGATAGAGAATTTTCCAGTCATCCATAATATGCAATTTTCTGGTTGCTATCTCTTTTAATTTGGAAGATATCGAAAATCGTGGAATTAAATTATCAAGTCCACCCCCCTTGCTTATTTTTTTAAAGTTTTTTTTTTACTTCTATTGGGTTTAAAAAATTATTCTCGACAAGTAGGCGAATAATTTAAATAAATTTTAATGATTTACTCGCTCCGATTTTAACTTGTACGATTGTTTTCCACATGTCCGATACTTACAACACGCGACCGACCACCATTACAGTGCCCGTTTTATGTTTAGTGTTATTGCGGTCGTAGGACATCAACAGGCCATCGGGGCGCGCGCGCGGCGTCCGGCGTCGATCGGTGAGCGCAATAAAATGAAAATATAAACAGATATGGGTGTTGTCGCCGCCGTCGTCGTCGTTCTGCTTTTGTGCTCGGCTGAAGGCGCGCGCAAACTCTTCAGCTCGCGCACATGTATGTAAATAGACGACCTTTCAATGCCGGTGGGTCGAGTAACGTTCGCGGCGTCGCCGGCGCGCGAGAGCGTTCTCTTCAGACTTCGACCCGGTCGCAGGACCGGCGTCGTAAAAGCGACATTCTATCGGCGACACGCCGGTCGCCCGTAAGTGGACCATAAAACAATAGAACAGCGTTACCGCACATTACTGAAATAACATTTAATCACCTACACAATAACGCGCGCAATAATGTTCCTACAAGCGTGCACGGCGAAGAAATAGTGTCGTCGCCGAGTCAAACGACTACGAACGACAATCGTTGATATAAAAGAAATCTTTCCAAAGAAAACCGTTAACACTTGTTAGCGGAGAATCATTAGCATTATAAACAATTAATCACAAGCGCAGAAATTCAATATTTACGCAGTGACAAATTGAAATACTCAGCCAAACATTAATTTGAAGTTTAAACAACTTTACTTGCTTACACTTAACCTCAATTTTCATGAATTTAACCTCACATAACCTAAAAAATGTGGGTTTTCAATGTTTTCAAGTTTATTTGAACTTTAAACTGGTTTAAACTTTGTAGTACAGTGAAAGTGTTGAGCTGAATTTCTCAATTCGTGCAATTTGCAGGCCACTGGCATTTAATTCGGTTGTCTTAAGTGTTAACTTAAGTTAAGAAGTGGGTAAATATTTGGATAACAGATATAACTGTTTCGTAATGAATTAGATGATTATTCAATAATTTACATATTTATTATTTATTATTTATGATCGTTTATTTACGACCATTCGAATTTGTAATTTTATTTCGCGAATAACCTGTTTTGATTTCACTTTTTTTTCGATTTCCTGCTTGGCAAAGATTAATCAATCAAAAATTATATAAAATCGTTTATTGTTTCTTATTATTGAGGTGAATTAATTGCTTAAATCGATAATTACGGCATAATTAATATGATTTTTGTTTGTGGTTTGTTTTCTTGTCGAAAATGACGCAATAAACTGACAATTTTATAACAATCTACTCTTAAAATTCAAATTGGACTACAACAACAAAAAATCCTACAAAAACGCTTAACGTGTGTGGGTTCGACTTAAACTGGTGCCTAGCTATACGAATCTGCGTATATTAAACTCGGTTAAGTTATTAGTTATTATTTAAATGTCATGTACGTTTCGAGTGTGTGGTGTGACTTACATACGCACGTGAACAAGTTTGCGCATACCTACATAAATTCGCGAATCGCAAGTGTGCGCGCACGATTCATAAGTTACGAACGGCGACGCGATACAAATGAGAATGGGTGTATAAGAAGTTGGAAATAAACGAAACTGCTCCATAACGTGTGTGGTGTGTGCGCTTGCTGCGAGATTAAATTAAACATATAATACGCCTTAACACCTATGCGAATTGAACCATTTGGGTTTACGATTTTTTTTTTGGTTTGTTGAGTGTTTGTTGTATTTGTTGTATTCGTAATCTGGTAGCGTTCGTAATTCGTATAAAGTCGTTGTGTTGCGGTGTTAATTCTGTCGAGACAGCTAGTAGCCACGTCTGGCAGACAACAAGTATTGTTGTTTGTAGGTATATACTTGTATTGGTGTGTCAGTTGAAAGTTGGCCCACCAGAAATTACAAACTCGGGCAGTGGGACTGTGAGAGACGTGGAGTACGTTTATTAGTTGCGATTGTGTTGTGATACTGATTCAACATTTAGGTTTGATATTAGTTTATAGTTTATCAAGTGTTAAATTTTTAGAATTTCGCTTTAATTTTGAGTTTTGGATTTGTATAGAACTAGGTAAGAAAATTCTTAAATTTTAAAATTTTAATTTAAATTTTTGTTAAAAAGTGTCGTATTTTTGTGTTATTTTGGGGAAATATTTTAAATTTGTTTACTTTTTGCGAATTTACAAATTACTTTTCTTGTATCTCCGTATTTTGCAACATAATTTGCCAGGAAACTCGCCAAAGTAAATTCGATGAAAAGCATCGCACTTTTTCCCGAAGTCCAGAAATCAAATCGTGTGCTTATAGATACAATAATACTTGATTTATCATATTCGTACTTCGACAATTGTAATAATGAGGTGTGAGTCAGTCCGCGCACTTGTCGCGATCTATACCCTCACAAATATACCAATCTACACTACCAGTAGACGCGCTTTAATAACGCAGCATCGCAGTCACAGTTGCGTTTTGCATCGATTCGCCTTGATTCGATTTGAGTCGAGTTAAGTTGAGTTGGGTTGCGAACGTGTCTGATTGCGTCCCACGTTTGACAACTGACAACTTTTTACTTCGTTTTTTTTTCATCGTTTGTAAAGCGTCCACAGTGGTCCACACGCTCGATTTTGTCCGCGCAAGGTGATTTGCTTTTGCGTCTCCATGTGGGAATATCGTGACACGTCCGAACTGCTGTCGGCGCTGCCAGTGTTTGCGTTTACCTCACCGAGTCGCGACTAAACATTCAATTATATCTAAAAATATTTTTCCCGTGTTGCAGTCACCTAACAAGTGTATAAGTGAATTGATTGTGTCTATAAACAAGGATTACAAATAGCGATGAGCCTCTAAGTTATAAAGAATACGTTGGAAAGTTTTGAGCAATCGTTATTTAAAGTGAGTACACACCGATAAATTTAACTCAAGTTAACGTAAGTCAGAGCTCAAAATTTATTTCCACTGGAATTCGTTTGCGTTAATGGATATAATAACAATACGCGCTTAAAAACTCCAGGTGTATGGGTATTTTTAGTTTGGACTGTTGCGTAACCACGATAAAAACGCGCGCGCGGTCGGCGCGGACTCACTATTCATTTGTCTATTTAGCAAATTTCGAAATTATGTAAGAGATAAACTAATAGAATGTACGCGCATTGGAATAATGGCGTAGATATGCTATAAAAGGGCGCCCGGCGGACGAAAATCAACTTGATTCTTTACATGAAACGAAAGGCGCGCCGTGCAAACAACCGAAAATCGAGAGTGAATGTTGCGACACACTTGACAAATATTTTGGTTTCGCGCATGCAAAACACCAACAACGTGCGCTAATATGAGCCGAGACTGACGCACATTGTTGGCTTTTGTTGTCGTAAATGATAATAGTGCTAGTTAATAAGTTAAATTATGAATAATAGGTATAATACTTACTTAATGCGTGGAATTTTTATTAGTTTTTTTTATTGTGAGGATAAACGTGGGAACATTGTTAATTGTTACAATAAAATTATGATGCAACATTAATTACCGTTTAGTGAATATAATAAAATGCGTGTGTGTGTGTCTGTTTTTTTTTGTTAAATTTTTTTGGGTTACTGCATTGCTGGCATTTAAATTCCCAAGTCCCCATTGATTTTCATGGAACCTTTAATGCTTTATCAGACGAGTAACTCGGTACCTATTTTAGTATTGATCTACAATTTTGTAAACAAATTTTAAATTTGGGATTTATTATCAAGAGGACCATAAAAAAATGAATAAAATATACGATTTTTTTTTATTAAAATAATTTTGAAACCAGTTTTGACAAACGATTTGTAAAATTTCCATCGTGTAATTTGATACATTTAAGTTTTTTTCTGCATAATTATCTATTCAAATTGCATCAATATTAAAATCACCAAAAACCACTTTACAATTTGTATCGTTTTAATTTATAATTGCAGTGTTGAAATATCCTAGTAGTCGAACCACTCAAATAAAATATCGCAAATATTGCGAATAACAATATGCAAAGTGGCTTTTTGTTTATCATGAATTTCATTATGCGAACGCGTGCATTTCGATTTACGATTTCTTGGTATTTAAACGACCTTCGCAACAACTACACGCAAATCGGCGACGACGCAATATAATCTATATTTAATTTCTCACAGAATCTACTCTATATAAGCTTTAATTTTTGATTCGGAATGGGTGGCAACTAAAATTCTTTCGAATTGAACTTTAAATAAAGATTATAATTACTTTTATTGACATTTAAAACCAACGATTATTCTTATCTACTAAAATATGCGTAAATATTTATTTTTTTTTACTTTTCGGAAATAAATTAATTTGATATGCAAACTTAAGAGGAAAAATTCCAGAATGTTACGTGTTTTACGTGTTGACCGAATAAAGTAAATATTGGCCGGTGCAAAATATTTCTCCGCAAGCCAAGGTAACCTAACATGCGCAAAAATGTTTGTTAGTTTTCCTCATTATCCCTTGCTCAATGGCGACGACGCGCTGCGAAGAGCAAACAAACGCAAACTCAAAGAGTTTCCGCGCAGCATGCATGTACTGTTTGCGAATATAACAAATGCGCAATTATGTTGTACTACTCGCAGTAAAATTTGTTGTTTAAACGTCATCTTCATGACTTCATACTCGTCCTATGGTTGCGATCGTCTCGTCTCTTCATTGTTAGTGAGATATTCGTCGAGTCTCCCCGGTGTGTTTGCACGTACTTAGATTGTTTGCCTGTTTGCCTGTTTGCATTGCTCATCAAACACGCACGGTGTTTGTGAAAATCACGACGCTAAATACGCCTTCCTCCGCGGCGCGCCTCGCCCGATGCCTCGCGTTCTATTGACAGCGCGGTCGCGGTTAGTTAGTTAGTCGCGGTTTTACTTTCAATGCCTCTGTTACGTGCCGTGCCGCACTTCTTCATCTTCGTCTTCGGCGGCGCGTCGGCTCGTCGTGCGTTTCGTGGTCGCATTATGTTTGCCTGAATATCGCCGCGGCAAACTATCGCTATTAACCGTAATAATAATCTCGGCCGCGTTTCATAATGCAACTCTGTGGTAACTAGTAACATCAAGTGCAAGTGTGAATACTGCCTGCTTTCTTAAACGGTGGATCATAACAACATAAGTGACGTCAAAGCTAAACAAAGTCTGCAAAACACTGGAAATGTGTTTAATAATGGTCTGAACATGACAAAAATTTATTATTTTTATATTTAAAGCCTAAATTTCGAAAAAAAATTATTTTATTACAAATAGTTTACGAGTTATTAATTAAAAACCTCAACTATTATCGCAGCAAGTTAGGGTGCTATAACAAGATATTAAAAACATAAATAATTTTGTAATTACTTGACACTTTTTTTAATTCTTAGTAATTATTAGCAAGTTTTAATATTTATGCATTTAAAAACATTCTTGTTATGCAAATGAAACGACACGAATCAGCGACACCACCGCGGCCGCCGGTGTGGTAATGAGGAATGGGGAATTCGGATTTAATTAAGGCTGTTCCGACACGTAAAAAAAGCGGCGGCGCGCGTTTTGCGAATGAGCGCGCGCTAATTAAATTAATAAATTATATCGCGCGCACGCACACTCTGTTAACCCGCAGCGTGTGCGCATTCGCTCTTCGCCGTCTTGATCTTGAATAATATGCTCGAAATATGTACATGATGTGCGCATATTACTTGTTGCGATCTGTGCACATCTCTCGGGCATGTGTTTTCCAACTTGCACTCTTGGCACTTGGAAGTCGTTTGTCGGTCACACTTGAATCGCTTTTATCGCATGCGGCGCAGCAAATAATTAACAAATAAACAAACGCGTATGACATTAACATCGGTACGTTTAAGCATTAAATTCTCCAGCGCGTATTTTACTTTGGTTCGCTGTTGAGAGTCAAGAGTAACAAGCAAACAGGTGTTGCAAATCGACACTGCACTTTTTTTAAAAAAATTAATATTTACTCAGTAGAATATTTTAATTTATTAATTTTAAATGTTTAATACTCATGGGTCGAGGACTAATGGTTGGTTGTTTTTTTGATTGGGAATTGCAGTGCCCAGAGAGGGATCCAGGCCGTTAGGGGCGTTGAGCGGTGACGGCGAAGGACACTTGGTGCGCGCGCACGTGCGCAAAGAGCGCCTCACCAAGGACAAGCACCAGCTGGCCGAAGAGGCCGCCAAAGTTCTCACACAAGTCGATCGCATCGACTGCCTAAGCTCCGAAAACGGTAAACCAATTACGAAAATAACTCCCAAGTACATCCACAGAACAACTCTTTATAAAAGCATTAATTTAATTTATTAGTTTTTTATCCAACACCGTTTTTTACCAATCAATTCAATCAATCAGATTGATTTATAAGTCTATCGGTAATCTACTCGTAATTACTAATTTACCAGTGACGAGATAAGTAAAGTAATTAATCCAATCAGTGAAAGTACGTCTCGCATGTCCAATATGGTGTTAAATAGTTGAGTAATCGACGAATTCAACTACCTATTGAATTATCTATGCTGGTAAATGCAGAATTGGTTCAAGGTTCACATTCGGAATTTTATTCTCGCCTGTCAAATCAGCAAATCACTACGTGGCATGTGTGTGCTTTGTTAGGTGCGTTAGCAGCTCCTTACACGGATTTATTTAACTCGATAAATATGAGCGCAGTGTTGGTAATAAATTCAAAACTTGATTGATTTATCAATGTATGTGTGTTATTTAGCATGTCGAGTGCAATGGCTCGTGTTTATAGTTTATGTTGCACCTTTCGGCGCGCAGAATTACTGGCCGTGGTGATTCTGAGAAGATTTAGTGAACTTGGCACAGATGCGCTTTAAAAAATGGCATGCCATAAAAGGCAAGTGGCAAAATTCGTCAGCGCTTGCTAAATTAAGCGTAAACCTTGTGTAATAAAATGTTGTGACGTTTTTCACAATATAAAACGTTATTGTATCTTAATAATTTGGTTGAGTGTCCCCGTGTGTCTGAATTGCAACATAAATTACTCCCGAGTTTACATATTTCGCCTCTGTGTGCCCAGAAGAAACGTAAACAACAATTAAGTTTATGTGTTTTCACAGACGACCGCACATGTGGTCATTGCTGTGACTATAAATAACAGGCAATTCTTCATTCACATTTCGAAGAAAACTCGTCGCTGTGTCTTCAATTATTCCGCCCACAAGACACAAATCACAACCGAATTGAATCAATTCAAGTTCGTATTAGAACCGAAAACCAACAACAGTTTTAAACGCATGTTTAAGAATAATTATGCGAATATTCATCGCCGCAAGTAAATAAATGTGTCTGGTGTGAGGTTGGCGCGGATTGTAGGCGATCGTTTTATGGCGCGATTCGCGAGCCCCCAAATGGACATGGATGGCGAGCGTGAAAATGACTCGCGAACTTCTTACTCAGCGCACAGACCTGGCCGATTGCGTGGGTGAGCCGAATGACAGCACGGCTAAATATTTACAATTTTACACCCAACCTGTAACCGCGAGCGAAAACATCGCTTGTGTGCGGCGCATTATTAAGATCGCATTTTAATAGCGTACGATCATCGGTATCAACGAACGGTGAAATTTGCTCGTCCTACACGCGGCTCATTATTTGCGCTTTTCACTCTCGCGCGGCGAGATGCAAATATTAGCGATACAAATTGATGGCAAATTACGGCCGGCGAAATAACGGACTGAGTGCGCGCCGTGTGTCGTGATTTCCAGCAGGGAAAATCCTAATCCTAATCAGATAAGAACGAGCGCATTATGTGCCAGGAAATTTGAAGTTTATTTCTGTATAGCGCGCAGTGCGATTAGAGCGCGCCCTCGGAGCCCCGGCGCAGCGTTTATTATTGTTATGGACGTAAATCGATCTCTTCCTCGTTGTGACGACGCGGCGTGTGCTTTATTGGCACGTATCGGCGATGGGTGGATTATCGGCGATTGCGAATTGCAATTTGCGGCGATGCATTATCTTAATGTGCGCCACGAACGATCGGAATAATTTAATAAAGCCATTTCAATCACAGCCGTCGAGGATGTGCTTATTTGCGTATCGCATTACAATAATTTGCGTTTCCTAAGTAGGCGCAACGTGCTCATTTCGTTATCAGCATTCAGATTTTCTCATAGGAATATCGAATTATTTCGTATACGGAACACAGGACTCTAAAATGTTTTAGAACAATTGGATATTTAGATTTAGTGGTTTGATTTCTGTTATTTTAAAATATAATATTAAAAAACACATTGTTCTTTAATTGTTTCACTTTATACTTGAAGAAAATTTTGTGCACAAATTTCCATGAAAAAATTAAAAATTTCATAAATTTTCATTGAAATTTTAAGGAAAAAAAATTATTCGACGTGATCATTGAGAATCACGAAACAAAACATTAAATCATTAGTTACATCAACGTGATAAACCGAACAGAAGACTAAGAATTTCACTCTGATTCACCTGACGAATAATCCTAGCACTACCAGTCGGAATATATATGATCTGTCAGTGGAATTTCGCGCTGCGGAAAAATGAGCGGCGCGCAGGATGGATCGAGACGAACAACGGCTGCGAACGGCGCGCAAAAATCGCAAACATGGCCCCGGCATTACGAAATGATAAATTATGATCATTGCGCGCGCGGCACGGTGCAAGATGCGTGTTTTTTTTGTTGTCTATTTTTGTCAGGCATTCGCGCTTTGTTTATGCACACCGCGTGCCGTCATAATAGATCAACAATAATAAAATATTATCGAGAGCGGCGAGCGACCATTCATGAATAAATATAACATCGCATGAATGACTGACTAATGCGGCGGGCAGCAAGGTTGCGTCCGACTTGCGGCTCGGACCAAGTGTAGAGCTGCGCTTTTCTTAAGTTGTGGGCCTGAGAATGAGCCACGCTCAGCTCATGGTTAATAAGCAGTTATTAAACTTACAAGATGTTAATCGTCATTTTAATTTGAAGTATAAAAAATGTGCATGCGAGCGCACTGCGAGTACGCAATTAGTATCGCACTTGTGTACAAGTTCACTTAAATTGCTGTTATCGGTGATTTATGATCTAATGTATGTCGCATTGTAATTATATTGGAAAATGTGCGTCGTGATGCGCCATCCGTTTTATTTGTATTGTTTTGCTGCGGATTGCATCTTGCAAACGTGTCCTGGTTTATTTTTATTTTTATGTTTTCGTATTGTTGCAGGCTCATACCCTGAAAAGTTTCACACACTACCAGCGCGTCGAAAATTAAAGCAACCGCCTGAGTTTTCCGCGTCTTTGGACCGCAAAGCGAGACGTAGAAACAGTGCGGATTTAGTGGTGCCTCCGAAGAAGCCACCGCGTACGTTTGCTAACACGCACCACACTCTGCAGCATCCTGTCAAGCCGAAGAAGTCATCGTTGAGACGGGCGGTGAGCGACGCTGCTGGCCTGCGCGGCGACAATGAATTGCGCCATCGCCGCGAGAAAACAGCCGGCGAAGGCGAGGACGCGTCCGCAGTGCTGAGGCTCCACCATAAGAAGCAGCTGTCACCAATTATAGAAGTTACGCAACGCGAGGACTACTTTACGCCCACGTTGAAACCGAGCACCAGCTTCAAGGAGAATGATAAAAATGTAGATAACGACGCGCGAGCGCCAGCGAGAAGGAAGAAACCAGCGCAGCACCAGCAGCACTCAGTCGGTGACGACCGCGCGGCGTCAGCGGCCGGCGCCGTTTTGCATACGACAAATAGCAAGCCCACGGCGTCGCCCGAAATCAAAAATCAAGTTGTCGTGATTGATGTCGACAAGGCGACCAAGATAGGCAAGCGTGACGACGCAAAGGACTCGAAGCTATCGGCCGCTGCCATTGGCAGAAAGATCAAATCTCTGGCGATCAAGACAGCTGGAAAGAAGAAGAAATTCAAAGACAAACTCACGCCCATTGCTAAAACTCCAGTGAAAACAACTATCCCTCGTCAAGAGGTGTCAAAATATATTCCACCACCTCCGCCGCTGCCACTTCCGGTGAATTCTCTTGTGAAGGACGCCATTGATAGCATTCACAATCGAGCTCACCAGAGTGAGATGATCCACAGTAGCCAGCAGCCAGTTGAGAGATTGCCACTCACGCGTGGTCGCACCGTCGACACGATGGTGAAGAAACTCAGCTATGAGAGTTCGTCGCCACCGCCGAAAACGAACATCATGATCACACCCAATGTCTCCGTGCAGCATAATAACAATCAGCCGTTCTCGTACACTCGCGGTTTGTCGCCCGAGCGGAGTCCCACCAGCCCGACTAGTCCCATCATCTACGCCCAGGTGGTGTGCACCAACGGCACGAATGGCACCGGTGGCAAACAAACAGTTCACACAGCCTACACTGGTAAGAAACACCTTCCACACTCCGATTCGGATGAAGGGCTTGGATATGAGGAGAATTCAGGTTTCCGGTCTTCGGAGAAAAGCATCACTCACTTTGGTGATGATAAATATAACATGAAGACGGATTATTACAACAATGGCAATAATGATTCGCGTTTTGAAGAAGAGTATCCGATTACTCCAAAGTTTCAAAGTAACGCGTATAATGGCTACCATTATGATAGTAAGTTTACCAAGGTGGATCAAGGCATGTTTATTGATTCATCTTCACGTGGACGAGGTGATGGCATGGATTCCAAAAGACGTGAGAGTTTAACGGAGACTTTCGAAAATGGAACCAATGGAAAATTTATTTCGAATAATAATGTTGTTGTTGGAAGCGGACGGAAAGATCTAAGTGCTCGAAGAGATTTGTTAGAATCACGGATTACAAGAAGATTTGGTGAGAAACGAGGATCACCTGAATATTCCCCGAAACCTACCTACATTACCGAGACCACTACCAGATATTACCGGAGTGGATCTGCTAGTCCCGTTCCAGGTCGGGATAAGATCACATCCGAAACAAAAGTCGAAACGAAAAAGTATCAAACCGAAAAGTACCGCTACGGATTTGATCCAGAACCGAAAAGTTTCGACTCACAGGCGAGCGATTACAGATCCAGTCCCGAGAGTAGACCCTTTGAAACTAGTCATAGGAATACCCACACGAATAAATACACGCTTAAAAGTCAGCAGCAGCAGCAACAGTTGACCAAGGATCGTAACTTTTACAAATCCAATCCAGAGATTCACATGCGATCGTACAACTATGACGATCACAGACGTTTCCATGACAGTTATCATGATTCACTGAAACGTGGCGAGATAGAACGTAAAGATAAATTTGGTGATTCCGGTATTGAGAACGACTTCCGGAGAGATTCCGGCGAGAGGCGGAAACGCGGCGAGTGTTCCAACGAGAGCGAAGACGAAGGGTTTGCTAGTTCACTCCTGATCGCCAGTGAAAGGCAGCATACAGAAGATAATTTCGCACGGCGTAATCGACGTGGATACGACTCAGATCGAGGTTATATCAAAGATGACGACTACCGGAACCTGGAGACGATGGAGTACAGAAAGTACAAGCACGATTACGCGCCCAGGGAGCGCAGCATCGACGACGGCTCGCATTTTGATCCACGGATTGATAAAAATGTCCTCGTGGATAGACGCAACCTAAAGAAGATTGACAAGAAACCACCGAAACCTGAGAAGAAGAGTAACTTGGAGAAGGTAATTTACTACAAACATAACAATCAATAGTGTTAAATTAAGATAATTTCGTTCTTTGCAGGTGAAGCAATTATTCACCAGCAGCAAGAAAAAGAAGGAGAAACAAGCGATGGTACGTGAGGAGAGCCTGCGGGCGAGATACACTGAATACAAAGGAGGCGAGACCAAGTTCCGAGCCAGCAATGGTCCTCCATCAAACACGGTGAGTGAGCATGATGATCATGATCGCAATATACACGACAAAATGTCACATTAAATTTTCGGGTTGGCTGAAACGCACAGAAGTGATACATTGTAACTTTGTGGCGATTCCGGGAAGTTAGGTCATCCGCGAAATGTCTATCTCACGGGACGGGTCTTGGGAGACTTGAGACTTAAAATGGCGGTAGCCACAAATCCTGCGATACATTTAGATATGATCTGCGCGTGTTACTTTACGAGCGGCATTCGTGCGGCAGTAAATCTTGCCAAAATCATGAGAATTTTTCTTTCTGCACTTTTAAAAATTTGTTTTTAAGCTACAAATTTTGATACTTATTCGATAATTACTCGGAAGTGAGAGTAGCTATAAAAATTCGTTTTATAGTCAATAATTTACACATAAATCTCGCATATTTTTAGATATTGCTTCATTCGAATTGTTATTCTTCACGTATTGCAAACGAGTTTTGTGTTTCAACGTGAAAATTTATCGATTTACTTGATGCATGATTTACTCAACTTGATTTTATTGACAAACGACGCCATATGGTGTTTATCACTTGCGTAATGCTGACCTTCAGATTCAAACCCATAGGAATCGAGTATGTAAATTTATTCGTCGCTTGATTCGGTCGATTTTTCCACATTCGAATGAAATTTCCTTTTCGTCGCACCCGGTTTGTCGATTCAGGTCGTGCACGAGTTGTTCAGATAGCGACATTTTTATGCACGCGCGACGCTTCCTTCCTGTTTCGCGGTTTCCCACCGCCCTTGATATTTACGCTTCATAAACGATCGCCGCTGGTGCGCGAGAGCGAATTCCGTGCACGTGTTGCGACCAACAATCGCATCAAGGTCAGAGGCGAGCAACAAGTCGAACATGAAACGAAATCGCAATGAGAAAACCGCAACATGTTGTATTAATTAGCGAAATCTCCGCCGAAGTGCAACCGAAAGTTTTTTGTGGGTTTATTTTCGGTTCAAATGAAAGTAAAACCATGAATTTATACGACTATGCTAATTGGGGTCTGCAATTATCAATTTTGGGCGCTCAGAATACCAAAATAGCCCCAATTTTGTAAAGCACTATATGCTAATTAAATTTATTCAGTTACGGTGTGTGATGTGATGTTTGTTGTTTGATCTTGTGCAGATCTTAAGAATTTATGTTTCTGTGAATTTTCTAAGATGGCTGCTTTTGGTTATGAGCTGTGTAGGCTTTGTTAGTTTGCAAAATCGGTGATATCTGGAAGATCTGTAAACGTCGGCAATTTATCAAAAATTTCGACCAATTACGCGATTCCAGGAAGACAGTCTGTAGAAGAATATCGATCATTTGCTGTAGCATCGCACTTGGACGCGCACGGCCGCCATATTAGATTCTGCAACAATCAAAATAGCTGATGATAGTGAAAGGAGATGCGAGAGCAACGTTTTTGCGTTGGCTCGCCGAAGAGTGATTGCGTCATTGAGTGGCCTAGGTCTGGAGTGCCATATATGGACGAGCCGCGCCACAAGTCGGTCATTGCGAGCCGCGATCTCGCGATGTATACGAGTATGGCAGCGACGACCAGCCGCACACCAACGCTGACTCATCACCTTCTTCGCGCCGCGGCCGAAGATCGCAAAATGTGGATTTCTGCCACACCAGTGTCCACGCACGGCCATTCAATACACATGGCATGCATGGCGTCCGGTTGGCCCGCCACCTCCGTCAATTAATTAATTTACACGCAACACCCACACACCGCCGGACATGCTTTTGCACTTTACTACTCGTCTTTTTCCACGGCGCGCATCGTCAGAATGTCGACAATCAACACACGCCCGGGGCAAATATTTCGCACCGAAAATATCACCCGTGTTGAAAGCATATTTCAATCCACACCACGCCTAATGATATGCAACACACAATTCACTATAAATGCACATTTGGTTGTCTAGCAGACTTTTTCGTACCTAGTTATATGTTTTAGAACGTAAAAAAATCATGCATCATTTTTATTACATACATATCTGCAGATCTTTCAATTAAAATGTAGTTTATGTCTTCCATTGTTAGCTCACTAAAGAAACAATTACAGCGTATTCATTAAACCAACATATTTTTCATCTGTGTGTGGCATGAAACGCAAAAAGTGCACACGCAAGTGAAAAACAGTTTCACTTGCATCATGCTTCTTGGTGGCATTGTCGTGGCTGTTAACGACGATATGAGAACTTTGAGAACTAAATAATAATTGCAATATGTTTCGAGATTATCTTAATTTTCATGGTTGTGAGAAGCAGCTAAATGCCTTCGCGTTATATAACATTCACGCAGCCACACACACACATGTACTTCCCCGAGTTTTAATTTATTGCGCATGCGGCTAAACGTTCTTTTCATTAAAGCCGATTCGGGCCGGCTGGCGACGAGAAAAACTTGAAATTAGATTTAATGTTCTTGCACATCCTCGGGAATCAGCATTGAATAAAAACCCAAGAGGATGAATAATCAAGTAAAAGTGAGTTATAACACACACGCGTGCATCAGGTTGAAAAGTAAGAGTTTCGCAATTTCTTCGTCGGCATTCCAAGTCCGCGAGGTTTTATTTATGGATGAATTACGAATATTATATGCATGTGATGCATATTACGCATAGCTGGGTGATGTCGGTCGCAATTAGAAATGTTTGGCCGGCATTTTAATTGTTAATTGTCCTCGCACGCAAGGCGGTAGGAAATAATCATAATAATCATTACGGCGCGCGTGTGTGTTCTCGTCGTTTATTCGCTTTCCTTGCCAACAATAATGATAATCAGCGATAATAAAACTGATTGAAATCTCTTTTATTTGCGGCGATTCGCTCGCAATATTTAGCATAATTAGTCAGCGCTCGCATAATAAATAAATCGAATGCGTCGAACATGCACATTAGTCATTTATCTCCGCCGTTGTTGGCAGCGCCATTACGTGGACGATCAATTAAAACATTTTAGCGACGCGTCCAAGTCGCAGGACTCACTGAATTTAAATTGCTTAGATATTAAAGGAGAAATGTTTTTTTTTGTAAAAAGCAGTTTGAATTACAAATGGTTTAGTTATTTGTATTTTATATTTATATGGTGCAGTATATTGACAACTAATTGACAATCATTCTGAAAATGTGTGCATCTCAAGATATTCAATCAGAAAATAAGTTTAAAATGTTGTACGCATGCGCACTAGCCCAGCGGCGAAAATGCACGTCATTAAATAAATTGATTTAATTCGTTTTTAATGGAGACGCCGTTCAAAAAAAGGAAGTGTATTAATAAATGAGGTTAAAGCAATGCGTATCTCATAGAAATCTGCCTGCGATGATGGACCGGTTCAAACATCACAATGAAAAGCGGAAAATTGCAAATTGCTCAATGAAAGCAGCCGTCAGCGTATAATTTCACCCGAGGGGGGTTGGGTGTAATTGTGTAATTGCCACTTTGCAAATTACTTCTGAATATATTTACGCGCAGGCGATTAAATTTAGACAAATATTTTATGAATGTACACATAACCACAACCAATGGTTATTGCTAGGCACTTCGCAATCGGCATCCCTTGAGATTGTATTTTTCTTTCGTCTACTCCGACGAAAATTCCTCCCTGCTAATTGTGTTTATGAATCTGTGAAAACTGCAAAACACGATTTCAACATCGGATAACACGAGCCCACATGCATCTCGCCGAACATTTGTCTCCAGCGAGCAGCATGTAGAAGAATGCTGAAAGTGAAGCCCCCAGAGAGCCGAGATTGTCCTCATGCGCGCCTGTAATGGTAATAATAATAATAACGAAGTCGAATGCAAATAAAATTCAAACGGCCGAACGATTATACGCATGGCGTTCATTAAAAACAATGTTCCGTCTTATCATTACACGACATTATTTGATGTAATGGCTTTTCGGTGCCTACACATAATGCCATATAATGTTGGACGATTCGCGTGTTCGTCCGCTGGGTGTCCGCACTTAATAACATTATTTACCCGACGCGCCGCGCGCATTACTTTTTATTTATGCGCCATTTTGGCTCTGCGCGAATTTGTTGTCATAGAGTTTTTCTTCGTTTTCTTTGGCGACGACGACGATGCGACTCGCTGGTGATGTGGTGATACTTATCGAGACAGAGTGTATTTTTCAGTTTAATGACATCACGGACACGGCGACGTTTTCTCATCGTTATTCTTTTCTTTGCTGCGCGACATTACTTGCGCTTTTATTCCAGTCATTGAATTCCACTTTCACGTACTTGGATTTTATTTTATGGTCATTAACCAATTCCAACTGTCAATAGATTACGTTTCATATCAGTTACATAACATACTTTTTTCAGTTTCATAAAAATCATAAAACTCTAAACTATATGCAACCCAAAACACATTAAAACTGTGTAGACAGTACATAGCCTAGTTTGTGTTTGTTTCTTGTGATTTATGATCGTCATTACTCGCTTGTTGTTTAATACTAATGTAACACGATGCCTTTAGGTCATATAAACAGGCATAATTCCACTAACAAATTTAAAACTTTAATTAAAACTGCATACAAGTTAATTACACATTAAAAATGAGATTCATTGAGACCAGTCGACATTGATAAAATAAAAATAAAAAACAACGCGAAAGCAATCTCTAGCATCGCCAGCATATCTCTAATTTCGCAAATTGCACTGCGCCGCCGGCTGACAAGTATTATATCGGTCCAATTAAGCGCAATCGAATCGCAGCGCACCGAAACTAAATCCACTCCGCCTAATATTGAATTCAATCTAATAACCTAATTATAAATCGCATGATGTATCGTCGATATTATAATCGATAACAGATACAAACAGCCACACAAGCATACAGGCGAATGATGATTGTGCGCTAGCGCGCCTGCGCGCGTTTAATCATGCATCCTTCGTGCGCAATTACTCGGGAGGCGAATCGGCGGTGTAAATCTGTAATAACAAGAACGACTTCCCACCCTGCAGCAGCTCCACAGTCATAGCCAGCGAGATAATTACGAACTGAATTGAGTCGGCGATATCAATCCTGGATATCAATTAAAGTTGCTTAATTAAAACCAATTATGAACAGTTTGCAACCCTATAAGTCGTTCCGCGGACCGCACACACGCAATGGCGCACTCGTCGCGCTTCGTAGAGAAGAGATCTTCGGAGTTGCAGAAGGTAGCAGCAACGAATGGCTCTGGAGATCTTTGATGCTCTGATCTGCATGTCGTTTGCATTCGTGGCTCAATTATTTTATAACTAGTGGTAATATAAGCTAGTAAGCTGGTGCAATCGACATGCATTTGAATGCACGTTGCATGCGCGCTGCGCTGATTGAAAAAATTCATGCGAAAAATTATCTGACCACATGAATATTCATTAAACGCCTCTTATCAATTTATATTATAATTGTAATTGCCACACGGCCGCATTGATGCATTTTTTCATTTATTTATTATTTTATTTTAATTTATTTGGAATTGCGTAACTTTTAAAATTTTATTTTTTTATTTTTTAAAGTAGAAACCCTTGATAAAGTAGTTTCCAATCGTTTGCCAGGTACAGATACAAATATATTCCCTTGGATACGCGTTGAATTTCCAAGAATGCCAAGGCCCCGCTGTTTATGTCCCAATGATAACTGCCGATTAGTCTTTAATACCGATCGTCGAGTTTTTACGTTTTACTCTCACTCGCCGCATGTAAGCATAAGTTATTCTCATTCGCGTTTCGCACGGCTAAAACATTCAAACGTTGTAACATATTCAAAACATTCGAGACTTTGAAGTGGATTCAAGCGATGCGTACTTGTGTCATAGTTGTAATGTGACGGTTCTGTAACCGGTCGCACATGCGTCTAAATATTATTTATAAACGTAAACGAATTCACGTACGCGCGCGCATGACGCGTCACGTGCACATGTTCACATGCGCGTTATGTATGACATCGTTTCTTTTTGATTTTTTTTGTTTTTTTATTCCTCTCGCTGGACGATCGCAGTGAAATTCTTTTCATTCATGCAGCGATCGTGCATTCATCAAGAAAATTACTTGTAATTGGCGTGAAGTTTTTAAAAACGTGTAATGTTGGTTATCTACGTCTGGGTTTTTGTTAGTTTGATTGCGGTTTCTGCGCTTGCGCGGTAAAAGATTAAAGATGAGTTTATTGTCTTGAAGGAAACATAATAATCAATCAAGAAGTCGCTGGCCGAAAATAAAATCAACAAAGCGCGACGAAGAAGTCCGCGCCTTCGTCATTGATTCATGCATGTGACGTTACCGACCATAATCTGATTAGTTTATCGAACGTGTGTGTAAATACGGCGGCGGGCGCGGCGCGCAAGAAGTCCGCGACCGAAGATAAAGATAGGATTTATAATTCCCAGGTGCTCATCTATTTTGAAGTCCCGCTGCGCACGTCGGTTTTATATTAATCATTAATGAAGAATACGCACCGGCCCAGGTACGGGCGCATGCACACGCCGACGTACACACAACGCGCGTATTTTTTTGCGCCGCGTGCGCGCGCCTCGGCAATAACTATAAAAACATTTACAACATTATTATCCTCTCGATTGAGCGCGCACACAATTGAAATAGTTGTGCGTCGGGTTGCATACGTGTGCGGCGCGCAGAGGGCGCCATTGTCCTGCGCGGATTAATAAAGCATTACGCAATATCGAACGCCATTGGGCGCTAATTGCGTTAATAAATAAGCGCCAACATTGAATTCGTATTATTGTTGATTAGTATTTGCGCGCGGGACGTCTGGACGCGATGGACGCGATGGCATCGCTCCGCAAGGCCCTTGAAGGCCGGCCGGTCAGTCGCCGCGGTCACATCTGATATCGGCGAATGCCGCACATACCCACTTCATAAATATCACCCTGTACGCTCATTATACCACCGCGTTTCATCTGCCCGCGCGCTGCCGAGCCACGGTAGCCTCTTCTTTGTGCGCGAGTCGCGAGCTTATTTAAAAGCTTTGTCGAATAGGCGAGCAGGGAATGTGCGCCGGACGCGCCGAGCTACACCGCCGTATTGAAACTTTATTAACAAACAAGATAATGCGCAGGATAAAGGAAAATTATTGTCCTCGCCATTTTTCCCACTGCCGGCGGATTTCGATTCGATGAATTTTTCCACGCGCGTAATTTCGCCGCAGATTGCGCGCATGCTCGCCGCCTTAATTTATTTCCCACCGGCTCAGCGGGCTCACCATCCCCGCGAGCGATAAATTCGCGCAGTTGGTGCGTTGCCATTTGTTTTCATCGAGATTATTTTCACTTTCGATTAAAACGCATTTTTGCAACGCGTTTGTCTTCTAAATCTGTCAAAATTAAAGACCAGTTTCACACAACTTTCGCAATACAAAATGCAACTTACAAAACTGATTTCGACCGATTGGTTTTAGTGTAATGCGACAAGTGACCTTTCCATTTTGCGCATTAACAATTAGCTCTCGAGAAATCGAAAGTGCAGCGTAATTTTATTTAACAGGTGTGATGGCGTAAATTTGGTTGAAATTTGCGACGTCTAGCAGGCTAATAAATAGTTTCTAAACGATGATTTATTTGTCAAATGTGCGCGCAGCCGCAGCATCCCGAAGGAAACGCTTTCATGGCGCTCATCATAACGCTTACGACTCTTATGAGAACGGCAATTTTTTTGTATCGTCCCGGGTGGACACGCGGACGCGCGGGACTATGAATAAGCATATAATTATAGCGTGAAGAGGCGCTCCGTCGCTTCTCGTCGCTTCTTCTAGTTTCATGGTCAGGCTGATCGGTAATAACGTTTTTCATATACCACCTTGTTGCTGCCGCCGGCCGCACGGCTGTCGGTCTCGTCTTTTATTTGCGCCTTGCAGGCGCCTGCTTGCCGCCCGGCAAAATGAAGCCTCTTTCATTCATTCACAACGTCTCCGTGATCGCCGCGCGCTTCATTGTGACGAGCAGCGACTACGTTGTCTACCTCCGCGTCGTATAAATATAACATCTCGTCCGTAATTTTCGCTTGTTCATTGTGGCCTTTTTTGCTCGCGACGCGCAACTCACGCTGGACCGACCGCAGACTTATGATATCAATCTGCTTTTTTGTCTAACACTAGATACACTACGATCACAAGAATCTCAGGATGTTATAATTGTTTCATTCGTGTTTTTGCTTTTTATTTGCTTCAGGGTTACGACTATAGGAGACGCATTTCTCCTAGTCCTTCGCCAACGCGCGAAAATCAACGAAAACCGACGCCATCTTTACACAGCAGTTGGTTTAAATCTTTGGATAGATTATCTAGAAAGAAAACCAAGAAGGTATTATTATCATATTCTCACGTTAATATGTTCTTAAAATTAATTTTAAATCATTAACAGTTGGAAAAAGATGGTAATCAAACGAGTACCGAAGACGAAATAACGAAGCCGACAAAGAGTCTACGATTTTTCGGCGACACCGATCAAGAATCGAACGATAGCGTACCGCACAAATCGGCGCTAAAGCAGCAACGCTCTGCATTAACCACGAAACATCGCAGTCAATCGACGCGCGATCTGCACAACATCTCCGAAGAGTCGCACAAGCGCAATCATCACAAATCCATGCTCAACATTCATTCCGAGACGGAACGCGACGCAAAGGGACGTATGATTCTTAAGCCACCAGTATCTCCGTCGCATCGTGTCCGCGAGCCTGCGAAGCAACGCGATGATCGCAGTCGCCGGCGGAAGAACGAGGTCAGTTCTGTGGAGAGCTCCACCGAGGGTGACAGCAGTCAGCAATCACAACGCAGCGTCGTTTATCTACACGCTGCTACTGGTAAATCAACACTTTGTTTTTATCGGCCATTTTTTAATTGTGTTTTATTTATTCAGTTGGTGATATACCAGGACCTGGTTACCTCCGCAATGGTCGCCGTGCAGCATCCCGTGAAGAACTTGCCTCGAATGGATCCAGCCGTATTCAACCGCATGCGAAAACTCTCAGCCGTTCATTTTCCGTTCTTGCACCATGGAGACCTCGCCATTATCAGGAGGGTATGGACATCGACTATACGCAATATCCCAAGCCGGTGAAGAACGGCAAATACGAGCAGTATCGTAGCGGATCTAGTCGGCGCGAATCGTCCACCCTCAAGAAGAAAGCAGCCGAGTCTCGACGTTCCAATCAGAACATTTCAACACTCGGTAATAAAAAGTCTCGCAGTAAAGAGAACATTTCCACCTTAAAGCGAGGAGAAGTGAAGAGTTCCAGTTCAAGTTTGTATAAGAAAAAGGAACGCCAACCGAAAGAAAACAATCGGTACAACCGGGAGGAGAAACGCATGGCTTCCAAGAGCATGTCGGTGGAGTCACTCGGTAGCAATCGCAGCGGAAGTCGCAAAGGTGAAGTCTCCAGGTCTGTTTCGATGCCGCGCGATCCCGAGAAGAGCGCTGGATGGTTCAATATGTCAAAGAAGAGCAAAAAACACGTCGAGTATTGACATTGATGTACATTGTGTTAATGTGTTGAGATTTAGGACTGTACCGACAAGTGCCATTCATTTCATAACGAATTCGTTCTCTCAATAATTTTAAGACGTAAATTTTCGGAGATGAACTAATTATGATAATAATAATCGCAAGTGCCTTATATAGCCGTAGGGGTGATGAACGTGGCATTGAGATGTTCATAAACACTAAGTTTTTTGTTCCAGCTAATAACATACATTCCGATAACATATAATGCTTACTGAATCTTTTTTATCGTTGCGAGAATTATGGGTGCTATAATGTAATTAATAGGTTTGACATAGATATCTCTCTGTATGTCTGTAAAATTGTAAATAACACAACAATCATTTTGGGATCAAGTGTAATTTGAATTTTTTTTACTGATGTACACGTGTGTAGTAGTAATGCCGGGAGCATCAACAAGTAGCACTTGAATCATGTTACCAAATTTCTCTCCGTGAGTAAATATTACATCGTGAATCATTTATGTGCGTAAGGGACGAGATTGGCAGGTAATTTTAAGTATATTTGTCTTTGATAATGTATAATTTCACTGTTGATTTATTCACTCATGATAGTTACAAATAGTCATGTAATTATAATTTCGAAATATTTGCTGTACGTTATAAAAATACATAATTTAGGACATAAATAAAACAAATATAATAAATATTGGTTTCATTATTCAATTTCCTGATCTTTTATGTTAATCTAAACTTTTATATAAATTTTCTTCATGTGTTTGTTAATATTTTTCTACTTCCACCTATAAAACGCCAGTTTATCCACGGTATTTAGACCCAAAACATGGTACTTTGTATACGGACGGCCAAGCCGTATACAATATTCATTATTTTTACGTGAATTCAATTTCAATTTGTTATGAGTTTTTGCATGTTTTGTTTCGTGAGCATCGTCGGAAACTGTACGCTCTGCACAGTTTCATGTAAACATGTAAAAACTCCTAACAAATAAATACGTCTTCAACAACGAAAATAAATTGTTAGTAAGTTTTTCTCCCACCTTCCTGTACCATGTGCGTTCACAATCTAACCTCAAAATTTTAACTACTTTTGTTTAGAGTGCTTGTAATACGTTCATGTTTCAAACACTATAAATCTCTATATAAGTAATTGTTAATCGTGAATTAATATGCCTATCGATAACAGAAGAATAAATGGACCTGAAAATACGGTGCCCTATACTCTCTTTACGAAATTAAACACAAAATCCTTTAAAGAACAAGTGCAAGACGCTATACCGGTCAACGGCAAGAGATCCGATGGAAGAAAACACCTGGAGCATCGCAAAATATGTAAGTTTCCTGCACATAAACCATATCTAAAATAACCTATGAAATTTTGTTTTAGTTTTAAAAACTGGTGTTGTGAGTCAAGCTAAAGGCAGTGCATACATTGAAGTAGGAAAGACCAAGGTAATTGTCTCCTGCTATGACCCAAGGGAGATTCCTAACAAGGCAGATTACTGCCAAAAGGGAGAGCTCTACTGTGAGTTTAAATTCGCCACATTCAGCTGTGTACAACGGCGCATGTTTCAACAAGATGCTGAGGAGAAACAAAACAGCATTATCTTGAAACAAGCTTTAGAACCAGCTGTTTGTTTGCATGAATTTCCCAATTTTCAAGTGGACATCTATGCATTGGTGCTGGAAAATGATGGCTCAGCACTTAGTGCATCGATTACAGCAGCTGGTGTAGCTCTGGCACAAGCAAGTATTCCAATGTATGATTTAGTAACTGGTCTTTCAATTGGCATCATTGAGAACACATTTATTGTTGATCCATCCATCAAGGAGGAACAACTGTGTGACATTACTGATACCAATGAAGGGGAACAGACTGCTAGTGAACATGGGTTAATTATAATGTCAATGTTAAATACTCATGAGCAAATCTCTCAGTTTTATCAAACTGGTAATATAGCACTTGAGAATATTTCCAAAAGTATTGATATTTTAACTCAAGTCAACAAAGAAATTGTCCCACTTGTGCAGAAATGTTTGACCAACTATGTTCTTAAAAGTGTTCAGGAAAAGGAAGACAATCAGGCAGAGGATTAATAAATAGAGAGTATTACATAAATAATAATTGTTTATCATAAGTGTTTTGGAATGTTAAACATGTATAATACTTAAAGCATGATTTGGTATTTGATTGACTTTTTAACTCTAGAAATTAGAAGACGACCATCATATGAAAGGGACGCGAATACCCAAGGTTCAGCTGGTGACCATTCGGCGCAATAAACGCTGTCTTCATGTTCAAACCATTGCAGTTGACCATCTTGCAAACTAAAATTAAGGTAGGCAAATTATGTTACCGTGAATCGTTACTCTGTGTGGTCGTCATGTTTGTAAAGTGAATATTTACTTCCATGAAATGCAAGTCGGAAGTCGAAGTTGTGAGCTTCTTAGTCATGACTAATCATGTAATATACTTACATTTGTTTAGTCTCTCCTTCACCAGTGTATTCGACCAGGTCATTTGTATTTTCTGAACTGACGCTGGCAGCACTACTGAGCAAAACTCTGGCGTCCGAACTTGCAGTCAATAACAATTGGTCATGAAATGGGTTGAAACGTACGCACCAAACCCTAAAAAATGTTTGCATTACTCAGAATTCACTACGCGAATTATATTCGTTACCAATGTGAATGATCACTTCTTGAATAGACGGGTTGGTGCGTTTGTCGAAAGTCCCATATTTTAACAAACCCATCATCCCCACATGTAGCAATGTGATATTGTTTATGTGAGTTGAAGTCTATGTCCCTTACCAGCTGAGCATGCAGATTGTCAATGTGCCATGCCAGTCCACCACTGCGAATGTCGTACGTTTTTAAATGTGTTTCTGTTGCTGTTGTAATCTAAAAATGTGTTTATTGTACAGGGGGAATTTGTTTTTGAATGTGTACATACCTGATTGCAATTTTGATGTGGGTTCCACTTGCCAATGGTGAACTTTGCATTGCCTTTGCTCTCCAAGTTCACATTCAAGATCTGTTTGGAATCTTGTGCTGAGATATCCCACAGAACAACCTGCATAATCAGTTAAAACTTTATTCTCTCTTAATGTTTGTTAATTTGATGTTACCTGATTGCCAGTAACTGTAGCACATTTACTCTCATCAATTGGATGAAATTCATTTGTTATAATGTCATCATCATAGCTACTTAAATCAAATGTGTTTTGGACCTCCAAAGATTCAATTTGTTCAGAATTTTCAACTTCTGGAAGTTTTAATAAGCAAGTAGCTTTCTTGCATGTTAAGTTTTCATTGTTTATTGCATTGTAGCAACTTGACAGGATATTCTTGTGGAATGGACTAGCATTTAGTTTCCATATTTCCCCTTGAGAATGATAGAACACTGTGTTTTGTAGGGTTGAGTTTTCCTCGTCAAATTCCACTAAGTGTACTTGATTTTTAGCTTGTTTCAGTGATTGTGTTCCCATGAAAAACCTTACTTTTTCAGTTTCTGCTAGTTGAGGTGTTAGAACCCGAGCCTGGAAAAGTTCATATGAATATGTGGTAGTAGAATAATTGTGTGTTGATAATTTACTTGAAATTCCAAGCCATAAATAACTGAATTTTCCTGATCTCCGTCCATTTTCGGGTGTATAACGTTTTATGGTTATGCAGTAAACACAGTGTAACTCTTTTAGTGTATGTTTGGTTGCATATGTATATTTAACATTCGTAGTAAGTATTCCCAACTTATTTAACTTTTTGAATTGTTGTCGTGTGTTAATTATGTTTCTAACATACACATTGTGTACTATTCTGGTTACAGTTAGATTAAAAGTTTGACATATGCGCTTCGTTTCTTATATTTAATTTAGTTAATACAGGGATTAATGTTAAATGTTGATTTAATGCGATTAATTATGGATTGACCTGGAAAATAAAATTTCAATCTGACCCAAATCTGCTTGTGTTTGGGGTATATAACACACTTTCTAACAATAACATCAATAAAAAATTCTATATCGTGTACATCGCGCTTGTTCTACCTGCACAAACACTGCGCACTCCGCTTTGCTGATTGCGGCGTAGTCGGCCCAAAGAAAAGGTAAACAAACATTTAGGGGAGAGGGGGGCAAAGTGGGCCCCATAAGCAAAAAAAGGGGATTTGTTTACCTTCTTTCACTCGTTACCCTATTTTTTATATCCTTGTTCAGTATTCAATATTAATAAGCCGTGTCTATCAAAACAAAAAAACTTCAAAATATGGGGCAAGTGGGCCCCCGCCCACTAAAAATTTTGCTATTACCTTTGTGTCCATTTTTTGCTTATATATTTTTTTTTCATTTCTTACTTCGAATTTGTTGATGTGAGTTATTTTCCCCTCTTATTTATCAAAAATTTTAGGGGGCCGACTTTGCCCCTCAATTTTTTAAGCCACCTGAATTTCAGGGGCCCACTTTGCCCCCAGGGGCCCACTTTGCCCCCCCTTCCCCTATATTTCATTGACGAACATACACGTTCAATGTTTGTATGTGGTAGTGTCTAAACATTCTTGCGACTCACGTCGCACTGGAATTCGACCGGTTTGTTCTTATCTCTTATTGTCAGGTGATTCGCGTACGATATTCGTGTATAGTTTTTACTGATGGCGCCGCGGATGGCGCCGCGTGTATCGTTTGCTCATGCTGCAGGAATAAAATTAGTTTCGCCGTATCCGACGGATGGTTCGCACGCGGTCGCCACGATTCTCCTTTCTTCGGATTTAATTCGATAACTCGTATTACTTTCGGTGTTCTTAGTGATTATTGCTGACTATTGTGTCGCGCTAATGATTTATCGCTTATAAGATGTTCGCGAAATGCAAATATTGTGTATTTGTTCGTGAGCGAGGTGCCGACGGATGCCGTTTACGATGTTTTGCAGTACTAACCGGTAAGTAAATTAAACATTATTCTCAACCACATTAATTGATTATGTTTCTGCCATTTGTTTTTCTTTATTTTCATATTTTCATAGTGTTTTTGCACATTTTTGCATTTTAGTCATATTTTTGGACCTTTACCCCAAAGAATAGAATTATTTTTTATTTTTATCTAATAGAGAATTATCCAATCTTTCATATTCTTCAATCTGTTGATCGCTATAGCTTTTAATTTAAAAGATACGTACTATTCAAGTTTATTGACTTAAATATGACAAAACCGTGGATTTTTTTTGTTAATTTAGTTATATTGCAATTAATCGCAATTGTATAGTTGAATCTCATTCGGGATACCGTAGCAGGGTGGCGGTAAAAGTGTCTCCCATTCAGGGCATCGGTAGAAGTGACTCGTATTTAGGGAACCGCATGAGGATGATTTTTTTCTTCTCTTAAATATCCAATTTAACTAGCTTATTTTATAATTTATAATTAATTCGTTCTTTTTCATCTATAATCCGTCTTGTTCTATCGAATTAAATATCGCTAAAATAATTTGTGTAAAATCAAACAATCTTCCAGTATAAGAAATTTGAATTACATAATTCAGATTTTAAATTTTTATTAATTTTTTTTAATCCAAATTCTGGGACTACTAATTGCACTATTTATAAATAGCACTAGAATTAACCAGAAGTGTAAAACTGGCATGTATTGTTTATTTCTATAGTTATCAGGAAGTGCGATCATTCGACAGGAGAATTTTGTTTGTTTTGAACACAACTTACACTTTCTTATCGCATTCGCTGTGAGAATGCAACGCATGAGATCCCCTCACGCTACATGTTACATCTACATGTTACATGTTACATGTTACATGTTCATCTTAGTTTAGTTTTGATCGCAGGGAACGTGCCAAAGCGATTCGTTCACAAAGTCGAATGCCATCGTCGCACTAGCTATGCGCATCTTTTTCTTTCTTATCATAAACTGTCACGTCGTTGCTTGCACAGTTTGCAGCCAGTTTCGTGCCAGTATCTGGTTGATCCAATATTTTACGCGACTCGTATTGTTTGTCCGGACAATTGGCTATAGTAATGTTATTTGTTTGCGCGTTTATTGTCTATAAATGCGGGTTAATTGCCGGTTGATTTGATATTCATTATTAGGAATTACCCATTGTGCTGGTGTAAGTAACTTTTAACTAAACATCACAGATTGTTTGTTGTTCTCCGCTGTGTGATTATAATATTTCGAAATAGTATTAAATGTTTTTGTTTTAACTTATGTTTTCCTTGTTTATTTACAGCATTAGCCGTGCCTTGGAGTCCCATGAGTTCTGCATTGGTAAGTTTATAATTCAATTATATTTTTCGTTTTAATTTCGGCGTCCTCCATTAGTTTGTATTTACGTTGTTTTGATTTATCGCGTTCTATCGCGTGTTGCAAATATATAAGATAGTCGCGTACTCGCCTGATTCATCTTAAAATTAACTGTTTAGTTTTTCCTTCGCTTACAAAAGCACAAGAGTTGTACAACAATTTTTGTGTCGCGTTGCCATCTGCTCATATCGCATGCAGTATATCTTAGTTTAGTTTTTATTATTTTTAATTTTAACCTGATAAAAAATTTTCTAATCATTCACATTCTTTGATCCGTTGCTTGCTTGCGATTTTAGTTTAGTTTAAAAGAGGGCAGCGGTAGAAGTGGTTCGTGTTCAGGGCCCATTTTTACATTTTACCCATTTTTTCTTAAGAATTAAAATTTCATCTCTTAGATTTCCGTTTTAACTATCCTATCTTATAGAGAATAGTCCGTAGATTAAGACGTTACGATGCGATCTTAATTATCTCTTTTAGTTTACAAGTTATACGCGATTGAATAAAATGAGCAAAAATTGCAAATTGTCACTTTTTCGACCTTTTACTGTAGGAAATATAATTATTTTATATTTTTATCTGATAGAAAATTTTCCAATCTTTCATAATCAATAATTTGCTGGTTGCTATCGCTTTTAGTTTAAGAGATATTAATTATCAAAAATCGTCGAAAAAAAGCATCAAGCACCCCCCCTTGGCAATTTTTTCTTAAGAATGAAAATTTCATCTCTCAGATTTCCCTTTTAACTATCCTATCTGATAGAGAATAGTCCGTAGATTAAGACGCTGCGATCAGATCCTATTTATCACTTTTAGTTTACGAGATATTTGCGATTGAATAAAACGGGCAAAAATTGCAAAATGTCACTTTTTAGCACTTTTAGTCGCATTTTTCGACCTTTTACTGTAGGAAATATAATTATTTTATATTTTTATCTGATAGAGAATTTTCCAATCTTTCATAATCAGTAATTTGTTGGTTGCTATCGCTTTTACTTTAAGGGATATTAATTATCAAAAATCGTCGAAAAAAAGTATCAAGCACCCCCCCTTGGCAATTTTTTCTTAAGAATGAAAATTTCATCTCTCAGATTTCTGTTTTAACTATCCTATCTGATAGAGAATAGTCCGTAGATTAAGACGCTGCGATCAGATCCTATTTATCTCTTTTAGTTTACGAGATATTCGCGATTGAATAAAACGGGCAAAAATTGCAAAATGTCACTTTTTAGCACTTTTAGTCGCATTTTTCGACCTTTTACTGTAGGAAATATAATTATTTTATATTTTTATCTGATAGAGAATTTTCCAATCTTTCATAATCAGTAATTTGTTGGTTGCTATCGCTTTTACTTTAAGGGATATTAATTATCAAAAATCGTCGAAAAAAAGTATCAAGCACCCCCCCTTGGCAATTTTTTCTTAAGAATGAAAATTTCATCTCTCAGATTTCTGTTTTAACTATCCTATCTGATAGAGAATAGTCCGTAGATTAAGACGCTGCGATCAGATCCTATTTATCACTTTTAGTTTACGAGATATTCGCGATTGAATAAAATGGTCAAAAATTGCAAAATGTCACTTTTTAGCACTTTTAGTCGCTTTTTTCGACCTTTTACTGTAGGAAATATAATTATTTTATATTTTTATCTGATAGAGAATTTTCCAATCTTTCATAATCAGTAATTTGTTGGTTGCTATCGCTTTTAGTTTAAGAGATATTAATTATCAAAAATCGTCGAAAAAAAGTATCAAGCACCCCTTGGCAATTTTTTCTTAAGAATGAAAATTTCATCTCTCAGATTTCCGTTTTAACTATCCTATCTGATAGAGAATAGTCCGTAGATTAAGACGCTGCGATGCGATCTAAATTATCTCTTTTAGTTTACGAGATATTGTGGTTAAAATTATGACACTGTAACACTGAAATGGTAATAAGTATAAGTTTACTGACATATTTACGTGTTTTATAAAGTGTAAAGTACGTAAAGTTACAAACAACATGTGTGTTAACTAAGCCTCGGTAGGTTGACACAATCGATACAATTATACATAAAATATAATACATAAAACATAAATATATAAAGTTTTACATTTGGTATTAGTAAATTAATATAATAACTTATATAATTATTTATTTCAATTTTACGATGTGTAGTGTTAATGTATCACTGTTGCACTAAAATGGAAATAAGTGGTATTTTACTGTCCTACATACATATAAAGTGTGAGTAACCTTTACAAAAACGCCAATTATTTAATTAACTAAGGTATACAGTAAATTTTTACGAAAACTCAATCTTATTACATCCCAAAGCCCATAAATTCTTTTCGTATGCAGAGAAATATTGAAAGTAAAAGTAAATTTCGTGTATGTGCATTTCAAGATTGTAAATTTTTAGTTTCGGACTCGTGATATCGCTGCATACCTGCCTTGTACCCGGCTACGCGCAGCGCACACGACAGTTGTTTCACCGCGTGGTCCGCGCGCACGTCTCTCTAATCGCCACGCGTTTTGAGGTTTTAATTGGATTAATCGTCGGGTATTCTTTCGGCCATCGGCAAAATATTCGCAATGGGCATGTGTTCCTATTTTGTTTAATGATTTATGGCGGTTAGAGTCTTCTTAAGTGAGAAATAAGTGTCCGCTAATCCCTGCGCGAGTGAGTTTTCAGTTGATAGAATATATTACAGGATAGAAAATTTCCTCATCAATTTACAGGTGGGTGGTTAATTAAAATTTTTCGCGGAAAATTAAAGCGGTTTAACTTAAATTGATTATTCAATTTGTGGGATATTAATTTTGTAAATTACAAACACGTGGTGGCATTTTTATCAGAATTCTTTTTAGTCGCGTTTCCGAAAGTAACAGGATTGATTTAATTATTACAAGCACAGTTTTTAAAATTATCTGAGGATTATTAAAATGACAATTTTCATGTGGTCGACAACGCTTACTTTGCCGTCGGCCGTCGGTTCGGTCATGTTTTCGATGATCACGTAAACATTTTCAATCAAATTGCATCAGTAATTTAATCATTTCTTGTTGAAATAATATCTTGAACGGTGAATAGTTTTTCGTTTTCGCAGTCTCAGTATATATTAATATTTACATAGAAATAGGTATTTTTATCGTTTATAACCATTGTGTTGCTAGGCGCCGTCGCTTGCCTTCTGTTGATTTAAATGTTTTCCGCCGGATATTCTCTTTATACAGTTGATGCTACCATCAATTAATAAATATTTCTTCACAATATATAAAAATGTAAGTGTTTTATTTTTGTAGCACCCTTTTGCTCAATTTTCCGATGTTTTTCGGGTAAAATCTCTGATTTTTTATTAAAGTATTGTTGTTAATTTGTCAAGTTCGCTCTTCATATTGTGAATATTAACTCCCTTTGTAGTTTCTAAAATTTTATTTTTATAACACCCTGTATATTAGTTTTCCTAACAGCACGTAGAAAATCACCTTTAGTTGTGAATTTTGAGTGTTCTCTGTTTTTAACATGGAATTTTCTTTCTAGAACACCCTGTATATATGTTTTCCTTTGTGTCCGTGAAAATGTTGCTTTAGCTGTTGTTTTTATTATTTGCACTTTAAATTTTCTTTCTGGAACACCCTGTATATTAGTTTCCCTGAACGTCGAGTGAAAACGAGCGGCGTTTGTAGTATTGAGTTTCTTGTTTGCACTTTAAATTTATCTTGTGTAACACCCTGTATATTTGTTTCCATTTTCAATCACCTACAAAATTACTAATTATCTATTTCCTAATTTCCTTATTTCGGTAGAACTTTATGAAGTAGTACTTGCTGGCATGTGCGCGGCTATGGAGGTCGTAAGTCTTGTTTCAATATGGAGCCATATATTTTGTTGACTCGTAAAATCTAACCTTGTATTCTATTGTTAATAAAGAAATAGTAAGATATATTGACTTCTTTGATTTTTGTGTACCCCTTCTATCATTTCAGGAACAGGTCTCTAAGAGAGTTCCCTCTCTCAGGGGATGATCCCCACTATAAAAATTGTTAAGGTATCCTGTGTGATTTGTGTACTCCTTCTTTCATTTCAGCGACAGGTCAGAACTTGTAAGAATATTTTTAAGTGTCACCTCACTTGAGGCGACTTAAAACTTATGAAATATTTTTATAAGTTCTTAAAAGGATGTCCTTATAAGGAGTTCTCCCACTCGGGGGATGATCCCCCACCATAAAAATTGTTGATATGCCTGATAATTTCGGGGATGAAGCGCAGAGACATCGTAGCTGTAGGATGGGCCGGGAGCAATGGATAGACCGAAGCCTCCGGCGCTCTGGGAGATCGACCGTAGACTGTCTTATAACGACACGTGCCAAAAAATTTAAAAATCTGATCCTCTCCTGTTCTCTTTCTTCTATCTCCTACTCTTTTCTACTCTATTCTACTCTATTCTACTCTATTCTCTTCCTTCTATCTTCTGCTCTCTCTGCTATTCCTTCTTCTACTTCTCCTATATTTCTGTTCTCTGCTTCACTTGTATTTCAATTTCTCTCATATTTTGTTGCAATTTATATATGCAACCCAAATTACACCTGATATTTTTATATTTGAGAAAAATGCCTTCTATACCTGAGATTCGATCCGTGTCTGCTGGCATGCCAGCAGGTGCACATCTCCACTCGGCCACCGAGTGTTTTTGTCATTAATATTTGATTCTTCTATTTATGTTTCTACTTTATTCAACTTTTTAAAAACAACAACACATGCCTTAGCTATGTTGCCCTCACATAAGCTTCATATGAAATATGATTTAAGACGCATATCCTGAAAACAACAAAGAGGATATCACAAAGAAGAATGAATAATATTTTAATTTTAAATTGAGTTTTATTAATTGTATTTAACAATACATTCTCCATTTTTTTTAATAAAACGAACGTACGTACGATTCAAGTCATATCCTACATACCATCAAGCCACAACGCTCTCTTATCAAACGTTACACACAAAGTAGAACTGATAGTAGAATTGATGTTACTACTCACTCTAAAACGTTTGCACTAACAATTATGCCACGCGGAGAGAACGCGTGATTTATCCCCTCTAATTAACAATACCATTTTGGCCTATAAATCCAATTAGAATCCGTAGCCCAACAAAAGAGATCCGACGGCCGGCGGCTGATGGCTTATACACGCGCAGGTGGTGTCTTAAGTCTCGCGTCGATTTGAGATAACTCACTTGTTCAGTAGGTGATAGCAATCGATGACTAAACGATTCTAATGCTCGCACCCTATTAAAGTCTCCCGAAATACTAACAGTCGTGATGAAGACCAGCGGCGAAACAGAACACGTTCACACAGCACAAATGCGTAGCACCGACTGACTAAACAGGGAAAAACAACAGCCAATAGCAAGCGCAAGATTTACTGAGCAGTATAGCGAATTCTTACCTGAAGCCGACGACACACGGCGACCGGTGAGGTACTGTCCAAATTTAGCAAATTCTGCATTCATATAAGGAACATGGATCAAATATGAATCTTAGATATTGCTTTCCTATTCTAACTCACCTGCTATCAGCCTATCCTGATATTTCTATCTCACTCACTTGAACGCAAATTAATAAAACACAATCCATGTTATATATAATCCAAAAACGATTCAAAATGACTAAATAAAAACAAACAGTTACAAGTGATTGATATAACAACGTACGAAACGTACAATTTATCAAACAATACACGTTCTACAGGTACATCTCTTACGACATTAGAATATAACGCCATGAAGAATTAAATTTGGGGATATATTAAATGCACTTTAGTTTAAATACAATCCACTTGAACAGCCGCACTTAAGTTTTCATACTTTGCACTAAGAAATTCATATTATGCACTATAGATTGTATAACTTATATTTTAACACAATGCACTTACATATTCAGGTTTAAGCTTAAATTTGTTTTGAATCAACTTTTTAAATTGAAACTTTATAATTTGTGGTGGTTAGGTAGGCTACCTTGTCTTGTATTATTTGTGGGGCGGTCGGGGGGTTGGGGGTGGTGGTTAGGTAGACTACCTTGTTTGGTATTATTTGTGGGGCGGTGGGGGTGGGGAGGGTGATAGAAGGGGCCGGTAAAGAGTACGGCATGTACTTAATACTGCAAGTTTTATAAGACATGTAATTTAACGAACTTTATTTTTTCTTTGGGAGATAGATCATTGTTAATACAATTGAATCAGGAGGAAATATATGGCGATGGTACTTTTGATAAAGTGCCAAAAATATTTTATCAATTGTATACGTGGCACGCTAAAGTAAACAATTCTTTTCCGCCATGCATATATTTCCTACTGCAGAGGAAGAATGCAAGCACGTATAGGAGGATGTTTGACATTTTGCAGTTTTGCAGTTGACTAATGCATAGTGGCGCGCTCTATTGGCGAATGTTTGGTTAAGAATACGGCACGTACTTAGTACTGCCAGTTTTATAAGTGCAAAGTATTAATTTCATAGTGGAAAGCATTTTATTCAAGTGGAATTATTTTTTCAAAGTGCAAATATTTATTTTTAAGTTCAGTTCTGTATTTTTAAGTGCAAGCATTAATTATAAGTGCATTTAATGAATTGACAAGTTAAAAATCGAAAAAATAAAGTTCGTTTAATTACATGCCATTAAATTTTACATCCGTCCCCACGCTGATATTACGAGGATGACGCGTTCATGTGCTAAACCCTGAAAACCAGTAAAATCAGTGCTTCGAAACACAAAAAGTAAATTTTTCTCGCTAATTCATAAAAATTATGTATGAAAATAATAAAGAAATTAAGTACTTACAATCTGATGCAAGAATGGTTCTCCTACGATATCGGGCTCGGGTGCAGATCACCTAAAACAAGCAAAAAGTAGTGAATTGCAACACAGAAATGTAATTTTCGTCAGTAATGCATGAGCTAATCACAAAAGTTATGTTTGAAAACGATAAAGAAATTAAATACCTACAATATGATGCAAGAATGGTCCTTCTAGGATGTCAGCAAAAATAAGTCCTTCCAACATTGAACTTAATAAAGAAAACAATCAACAAGTATTTAACAAAGTAATCATATCTTCATATAGTATTAAGAACGTAATTTCATATGTGACAAATAACATTTAACATGCTTAGCGCCTCTTACTGCAACAGCAATTCAATGTGACTTGTAACTAAATTAATAAGGATAAGATGCTTGCCTCGCACCTTCGCTCTCCATTTAGCATATTTTTACTGTTTAACTGTTTAGATCAATAACAAGTCTTGTGTTGCCTTTAACAAGCGTAATAAGTATATAACAATAGTTCTGCGCTGTCTTTTTTAGGCAAATTCAATTTGAAACACCAATTTTGCGCTGTGTTTTGGTCCAATTATATTAAAAGCAGAAAAAATTATGGTGACGTTTGACGGTGTTCATTCTTCTTCTTCACCCGGTCTTCTGGGCTCTGTGAATGTCAAAATTTAAGATGTTGATGCTGCGTCCAAATCCATGGAATTCCCCAGTAAAAAGGTAAATCTAAAAATCAGAGTGTTAAAATGCAATTCATAAATTTCTAGTTTTTTTACCTTTAAGCAGCTTTAAGATTAGGAAAACATAAAATTCCATCACTATTGAAATACAATAGTAGTACGAGACGGTGAATATAAGCTGAGTAAAGTTAAGTAAACACTTACTGCGCTATACCCTCACAATATCGCTGTAAAACGATATATTACAAAACCATTGCAAGTCAATGCAAGTATTTGTAAAGCCAGTAGGTGTGCTGATGAGACCTCTAATGGTCGAAATAGCTATCCACATCAGGCAACAAGTCCGAAAATCCTAGCGCGTTCTGAAGAAACCAAAAGACGCTTCTCGTCATGGACTGTTACTGATTCTCTATCAAGGCTTCAAGATAATAGACGCGGTAGGCCGGTGCAGATTGATGACCCGCTTCCACATCCACCTGAGGTGAAAACAAATTTCATTAGCATAACAACGAGCCAGAAGTAATATAAAAGCGAATATTGCTGAAGCTTGGGGGTGTTTTCCGGATAGTTTAAGTTGTATTTCTTATTTACCTCTTCTAAGGCTCATTCAACACAAACATTTTTGTGTCGACTGTGTCAACCTACCGAGGCTTAGTTAACACACATGTAGTTTGTAAACCTTAATTTACACTTTATAAAACACGTTAATATGTTAGTAAACAGTGTTATAATTGTAACACTACACCTTGCAACATAAAAATAAATAAATACCTTTTGGCCTGTTAAAATTTAATAGAATCATTAAAATTGTTGAAGATGTCTCTTGCTTTACCGGAAATTACCATTTTCTATCGAATCCTTCTGGACTTTATTCAGGGCACCGTATGAGGGTAGCGGTAGAAGTGACTAGTGTTCAGGGCACCGTACAAGGGTAGCGGTAGAAGTGACTCGTGTTCAGGGCACCGTACAAGGGCAGCGGTAGAAGTGACTTTATTCAGGGCACCGTACGAGGGTAGCGGTAGAAGTGACTCCCATTCAGTGCACCGCATGAGGGTAGCGGTAGAAGTGACAAAATCAAGACGATACCATACTATACAATTTTGAAATATATTGAGTGCAAATAATACAATATTTATTTCATAATCAATATCAGATATGATGTGATTTTATAATTTCAACAGCGATAACTCAATTTATTAACAAACATAACACTCAACACATTAATGGCTTGAATTGAGTGGACGTATAGTGAGTTCATTAATTTGAACCCTATGTGGCACACCCAAAACATAAAGCACGGCGTCGGCAATATCCTGGCTGTCTAAAAACGGCATATCAGCAAACAACTTCTTCATTTCTTCAGTCAAAATTGCCATGTCAATAATTTCGGTTTTCACGGCACCAGGACTAATGCTGGTGACTTTGATATTAGTTTTCTGCGCAACCATCTCCTGTCTTAAAATCTCGGTGAGGTTGGTAACAGCATGTTTTGATGCTCCGTAGACTCCAATTGTTGGGAAGAACAGATGGGATTGACCAGCAATACTATTGATATGAATAATATGCCCTTCAATTTTGTTTGCCTTCATGATCTTGGTAGCTTCCCTAGTAGCAATGCAAAGACCCAGGACGTTAGTTTCGATAACTTTACGCCACTCTTCAGTAATGCCTTCAGCAAGATTGGAATTGGCTCCAATAACTCCAGCGTTGTTAATAAGTACCTGGACATTTCCAACGTTTTTAGTAGTCCATTCAAAAGCCTTCACGATATCGTCTTCAACACGCATGTCACACTTCACCGCATAAAGTTTTCCTTTAGCACCTTCCTTGGAAAGTTTGTCGGCTAGAGCTTGAACACGTTCAACACGACGAGCCAAACCAACAACCTGTTGTAAAAGTACAACATAAAAATGTATTTTGGGTTTAATTATTGGATCCATACCTTCATGCCAGCTTTGGTCAAGCTATCAACGGTAGCCTCACCAATTCCAGCACTGGCGCCGGTGACAATAGCAACTTTACCAACGTAACGTTCCATGGTTTAGACTAAACTAGCGAGTCGTAATAGAACAAGTCGAATAAATAAAGTACTTATATGAGAAATGCAGATAAAAATAAATGTTTACTCATTTTTATTTTCAGTTATCAGATAATATTATGTCTGGATTGCAGTATTACATAAAACTCAACCACACAAAGTGACATGGCGACTTCGCTTAAAAATTTCCTAACATTAATAGGTTTGACATTATTAAAACACTTTACGTGTACGGTGTGCAAAAAAGGCTAATTGTTTAAAAGGAAATACAAATCAAAATAGATAATTTTGGCGCTTACGATAGATGTCGCTACACTGTATGAATGTGGCAACTTTACTTGCATCTATTTTGAATTGTGTCCACGCTTGCAATTCTCGACTATTGCCGATGTACACCGACACCGAACTAACGTCCCCCCTGAAATAAACCTCAATCTCATGTTATGAAGACACCTCATATACTGTTTTACTACCAATCCCTGACTTTAATTATTTATTTATTGCAATAAATTTATCACCATCCTTTGAGATGGATGGGGAGATTAAAGAGGGATTTCTCTGCCCTATATGTCACATTGATTTCCGCTCTCCTAAAATATTATTAAGCCATTTTCAAGAAAAACATGCAGAAGAGCAGGATTTACTAAAATCATTAAAAGGTAATTAGTTTCAAAATAAATATTTCAAACATAAACCTCAACCAACTACTTATTTCAGATTTAGTTGGAAAGGCAAAAAGTAAAATACTGAAAGTTGATGATAGAGATATTGAAGCAATCAAGTCTGATGTTACATTCCAAAGATATTTCCTCGAGAAATCAGAGCCACAAAATCCTGGCATCAGTAGGTCTCACATAGAGTACTTTAAAGAAGTTAGAAGAGAAAGATTGGATCACAGAACTTCTGAAACTAACAAATTAATTATAAGGTTGGACAGATTTCTAAGATCAACTGGCACTGATCGTAAGCAGGTTGCTCAAGAACTAGTCACTTGGTTGGATGGGAGCACTGTCACTAGATGTCCATCATGTGCAGCTAGTTTTAATTTAACAAGGAGGCAGCATCATTGCAGACTGTGTGGCAGTATTATGTGCAATTCATGTTCCACATTTTTGACATATGAAGAAGCCAGAAGTATAACAACATCTGTGTATTCATCAGATGCAAGTGTGGTACAGAATAAACATAAAGATGATCAAGACACTCTTAGAATATGCTCACACTGCAAAGGTATGCTTGACTGCAGGAGTAAAGTACAGATGAGTCAAAGTCATCATCCATTGATTTGCAAATTGTATCAACAATTGCAGAGGGCTAAGAATCAAATTCAACCTAATGTTGATTTGTACATTAAGGTATGCTAAAAAACTAGTTGAAGTTTTCTATTATTAACTGTTATTTTCACTTTGCAGATGTTCACATCTTTGGATATGGGTGACACAACATATACCCTGCATGATGCACAACATTTAAAAGTTCCATAGCAAAGCAAGCTGAAATTTTAGATACAATTAGCTGTAAAATATCAGCGATTCCACCAAAAGCAGAATTTCCACGCGAATTTAGTTTGCAGAATTCGATCCGTCGCGGAACAAACATGTACATCAAAGAGGTGATACTAACATTACCAAATCTTCCATCACCCAGTGAATTGGTCAAAAAGAGAGAACAGAGACTCCTGCTGAATTCTCAAGAGTCTGCCGCCGCGGATTCCGTGCATGTGGCGGTAAAAAAAGTTGCAGTAACCACCGGTTGGTCCCCTGCAAACGTTGCGAACAATTTAGAGGCTAGCACGGCCGATGGAGGTGAAGATCCGCTAATTGAACAAATTAATATTGTCCGAAACTATATTCAGCAAGCGATTCAAGCGAATCGCTTCGAGGAGGTCGCCTCCCTGAGGGAGAATTTAAATATGTTGAAGCTGATGCATAAAGAACAGCAGAAGTCTCAACAGCAACATCAACCACGTGATAAGTAGCTTTTATAAAATGTATTCTAGCATTTACAACATATTTTATGTTATCTTGTTTTGAGAGTGTACATTATTATTTATGGGTTTATTTAGAATATGCAACTATATATTATATATACCTATATCTTGTTATCGCTTATATTTATTGGAATATAATTTGAAACGTACAACTTCATATGTGTGTTATGGCGCTTTTAGAAAATGTATTAAATTGTAATAAAAATTTGCACATTTTAATTCTTGTACTTTGTTCGTAGCAAAATCTTGCGCCTTGCAAGTCATGCGCCGTCGCAGACAAGTTGTTATTTTTGTTTTCCTTGATTCGCGCTGTTGCCATATTTAGACTGATAAAAATAATAAAAAACACATTGCAACTATGCAAGTTGATTGTCGTTTATAGCAAATGTTTTTAGAGAACAAAATATAGTTTCTTTGCCAGAATGGAAGTGAAGCGTTTAGATAATAATGTAACGGCCAATCTTCGAAGCGGCTATAGTGTTAATAATGTATCACGATGCGTTAACGAATTGGTAAGTTTAATTTTTAAAAATGTTAAAACTTTTATTCGTTGATATCAGTTACAAGAAGTTGTTAAGAAACACAGGTTATGAAGACTTTACTAGGCGTTATTGCATTTGAAATCAAACTTGCTTTTAAAAAGTTGTATTAGTTTTAATTGTTTGTACTCCTACTTACTTGTTATTTCCAAGATGGTTATTTTTCATGTTCAGATATTAATAAATATTTAAATATTAAACAAAATTCACAAATACTCAGACAACTTGGTTGACAAAATAAGAAAACAGCTTAAACTGAACTAGAAAATTATGTTGTCACTTTGAATCAATACGCAACTATCACAACACTAAATAAAATATTACGTATGCAACACATGATACATTAAAATTAAAAACTTCCAAAAACAATGATATCTTCCTAGGTTTTAAATTCATTGGACGCAAATTCAACACACATCACAGTACGCGTGAACTTGACAACATTCCGCATTCAAGTCGTCGACGATGGCGAAGGCATTACAAAAACAAATTTGGAACATGTTGGCAAACGCTACTATACCAACAAATGCAACTCAACGCACGACTTAGAAAAAGTTCGCAAACAATTCGGTTTCAAGGGCGAGGCACTTTCCTCAATTGCTAACAATGCGAAAATAATAAAAATCACATCCCGAGCATGGGACACTACCGATAGCCAAACTTTAATGCAAACTTTTGACAAAACCATCGAGGGAAACCGGCACACAATAATGGAAACAGCGCAACGTGCCAGTGGCGGAACAACCGTCACCGTTCAGGAGTTTTTATACAATTTACCCGTGCGACAGAAACGAACAAAGAATTTAGAATTCAACGAAATCAAAGAAAATCTCCAAAAACTATTTTTACTACATCCAAATATAACATTTTCATTACGTGATGATTCAACAAAAAAGATCCTATTTAGTTCCACACCCGTTGAAACTGTTGAATCTGCTTTACAACAACAAATTGATAACTTGGATGAAAAACTCATCAAGTATTATTCAATTACCAGAGGGCGCATGATTGTAAAAATTCTGCTTTATTTAAAGCAGTATGAGAATAGCAAGTGGCAAATGTTTTTCGTCAACAAATTACACGTAAAATCGGCACAGCTTACGAGTCACGTGAATGATATCTTATCAAAGAGTGCTTTGTGCAACAAGAAAACTAGAAACAATTGGAGTACTTCCAGTGGTGGTAATTATATGTATTTGTTTAATATCACATGCCCAAATTCAAAATACCATATAATTAATTACAACGATGTGGAGTTTAAAAATTTAGAAACAATATACAAAGTGATTGAGAGGCAGTTGCGCAAAATATTCAAAACAGAAAATATTTGGATAGCAGAACCAGAAAAGAAGAAGAAAATTGAATGTAATTTAGAGAGGCGTATTCATTTGTCTGGATTTCCAGGAGCTTTCAAAGCTACGGCCGTACGAAAACCGGGCGAAGAAATTGAAGACGAAGAAGACGAAGAAAATTTTGTATATAATCCAGATTTTAAAGTAAATTGTCAAACTGAACAACGTGTTGAAACTAAATCTGCTTCAAGTGTGGAGGAGCCTTTGAAGCTGACATATTCATCATCTTCTTATCCTGATTTACTAAAACCTCCTTACCAAAAAGATAAAGAAGTTTTTCCAAGTACAAACTATTCCCGTTGTCAAGATAACAATCAAGGAACAATTAAAATGAATGTACAAGAACCTTTTGAAACTACTTCAACGATAGGAAGAAATTATGTTCTAAATAAATTTTTACAGGACAATAACTACAATCCAAAGATATGTCCTCCAAATGATAAATTTGATGATCCACATAGAAAAGAAAGAGAATATTTAAAAGAACTGCAAATGAGGGAAGCTTGGATTTTGAAAAAAGAAAAAGAGCTACAAATCGCACTTGAAAAAGCGCAAGCAATAGAAATGGAAAGAAAACGAGATATTCCTTATTTAAACCCGAATGACAATATGAAAAAGTATCATTATGAAAGCAATCGGAATGATGTTGCATTAGCGCATTATTATCGTTATAAACATGAGCGGAAACGTCGACAAGAAAAACGATCTTATGACATGAAACCTACAAAAAAGATGTTGGTTTATTGTGGAATGATACTCGTGTTGATCTCTGCAGGCATGAAACATTTCCAACTCATAACAAATTTAAGGATTACTTTAAAACACCAGATGTTCCTCATTATAAGCTACCAGTTGAATATAAATCAAGACAAGAGTATCATCATAAACATTTTTATGAATATCCCAAAAGACATTATCAAAAAATTAGTAAAGCTCCGAAATATCCTACAAATTTTGATGTACCAAAGTTTCTAGACACTTCTCTGGGTACCCAAGAAAATCAAAATGATTGGGATTTATTCAATTTTGAGGAACTAGATAAAAAATCATTTCACTTTCCTCGTAAATCCACTCGCACGGCAAAGCAAATGCATAATTTTGCGAAAACCGTTTACGATTCAGACTTTTCGCCTATTCACGGAATGGAATTCACTCTTCCGCATCCAGTGCCGAAGAAAAAGAAACGATCCGGTAATTTTTTTCGGATGCGTGCCTCAGAAAACACAACCCGTTTGAAACAATACCAGGTCAGAAGCAGGACTCGAAGTACGACAACTACAAACATCAACCCAGGTCAAAACCAAGGCAAACACATCACTTATTCGAAGACAAATTCCCGAACTGGGACAAGAACCAAAACGAGGACTTTAATTTCTGTTAGTAGACGTACGACGGTCACAACTATTTCTAGACGAAAATTGGAGCATTCGCGAAAAAGAAAATCTACGAAGAAGGTTAACAAGAATCGAAGAAAAATCAGGTTAATTACTAATAAAGCCACGAATACTTCTATGAAACAATTAAGCGTAAATGAAACTATTATTATGATGGAACAATCTATACAGTGTACTATTGGTAATCAGCACAATCAAAGTCAATTGGGAATTATACCAAAACAAGTAGAAATTGTGAAAAATCACAATAACGAGAATAAAATTAAAAGCAAAAAACCGAAAGTTAATATTATTAGCGATGTTATTGTCAAACCAATACAAGACGACAACATAACCACAAACATAACAAAATTTGATGATGATGGTATTATTGAAGGGACTCCAGATAACGCACCGTTTACTCCTTGGGGAAGCAATTTTCATTCATGCATATTAAAAATGAATGAAACGCAAAACGCACCGCGGGAAGCTTCAGAAACAATCACAAAAAATCAAAATAACATGTCGTTTGCTAATTTAAGTTATTTCCTTCAAGAAAATAACGCAGACGCAACATCAGCCAAAGATACTAAAGTAATTATTGACAAAAACGTCAATAATGATAAAGATGATTTTAATATTAATGCATTTGAGGGATTTAAGGCGTTTTCTGGAGTTGAAATATTTGAAAATGAAAATGTAGAAAGTAATAACAACAATAATCCGTTTAATTTATCCATTGCAATCGAAGAATTGGCGGAAAATTGGAGTTTTAAATTTAATACTACTCAACATTGTGAAAATGTGAAAAAGTCAACGGATTTTTCTTTCTGTACTACAAATCAAAACAAAAAGAAAAAACCTATCACAACTACAGATATTTTGGGGCCCAGGGTTGGATACTAATTTGGAAATTGATGAGTGGTCCAGAAAATTTGACGATCAAGGCGGGAGTTATTACATTAACAAACGGACAGGTAAATAACAAAACAACAGCAGAATCTCAAAAATACAATCAAAGTTTTGCCAAATAATTTTAAATTTTAATTTTATAGGCAACACAATGACACAATTACCCGCTGGCAACGAAATATTTGAGCTAACAAAAGACCTATAGATCTTCCCAAAGGATTCTCTCAATTCTCAAAGAAACCCTCAAATTACCGAAACGGTGAGCAACGAAACAAAACGTGAATTTCACGCGGCGGTTTGTGAATGTTACCGCGATGATGACTTAGATTTGGCGCACGTCAAATGGAAGAAGCATTATTTGCAAAATACAGGTAAAGGTCACGACATCTGCACTTAATTTGTTTCCAATAACATAATACATCAAAATATTTAAATTGATTTTTCTGTTTGTTTCTCATCAGATTACGTAGAATTTTTTAAACGAATCTATGACAAACGATTCATCATCGAAACGCAAGAATTGCAATTACCGAAAATTAGGCAAGCGTCGAGTTCGCTTAATCCGGTGGCATTTACAAAGGACATGTTTCATCAGCTGGACGTGCTGAGACAATACGATTGTAAATTTATCGTCACCGTGTGGAAACCGAAGGCGATGATTGTCATTTTCGATCAGCACGCTGTGCATGAACGCGTGCGACTCGAACAACTCATGAAAAAATATATTAACATTCATAAAGGTAATAGAAACTAATCGCTAATGTTCACATTGTAGAGATTTATTTTATTCTAAGGGTACTTTGAAGAAAATATCCAATTAACAACAACTAAACTGAAACCATTCGAAGTCGCAGGCAGCCGCAACACAATTGAGACGTGTCTAAAGTATATGGACGTGTTTAAAAAGTTTGGTCTAGATTATTCGCGTGCTAATGAGGATACACTGATTGTGAATTCTGTGCCGGAATGTTTGTATAATAAGGCGCTGAGGGAGAACGCCAGACGCAAGGAGAAACTTGCCGAATTAACAAAATTGATGCTGTACGAAATTGTGAATTCGATTGTGGACGCTGTTTGTTTCAATCAATGGATGCCGCCGATGGTGACTAATTTAATTAATTCGGAAGCTTGCCGCGGTTGGTATATTCGTCTTTTTTTTAAGTAAAAACCTACATTTTTATTGATGCAAAAAAAATTAAGCTAATTTATTTGAGAATGTGTTGGAATTTTATTTTTTTTGTGCTTTTAAAGGTGCCGTGATGTTTGGCGATGTGCTAAGCACAGAGGAATGCGGTAAATTAATTACGGATTTGGCTTTGTGTGATTTGCCATTTCAATGTGCGCATGGCAGACCGACTTGTGCGCCTCTTTTTGAGCTAACAAGATTTGCAGAAGTAAAGTGTAAACAATTACTTTTTTATTATTTTTTTATTTTATTTTTTGTTGCAGGCTAAGAAACGCATTAATCTTACTTCTTTAAAATATTTACGAAATGGAAGAAAATAATGCAATACAAATTTATTTTGCTGTATTTTGCTAATAATGATTAAGTTGAAACTTTGTTACTCACTTTTTGACATTTACTATATTTAGTTATTATTCATATTTTTATTAGAATGATAAATTTTGTATTTTATAGGATTATCTTGATTTTTTATATATTTTTCAATGCCAGTAATAAAAAAACAGGAAAATAATTTATTAATTTTAAATATTTAAAAACCAAGATGACAGTATACGAGTATAGAAATGTTAATTATTGAAATATTAGTTATTACACTGTGACTTGTCAGTAAGGTCAATTTTGGTTTCATATTTCTGTGTAGAATATATTTTTATTAACTTAGTCAAAAATTATACTTTCATATTCAATATATGAAACAAAAAATAAAAAGAAATTGATGTGTTCTATGATTCTCCGAAAATTTCGCGCATTATTCTAATTCAAATTTCGAATTTGTATTATTCATTGTTTCAAAGTTTAACACCCAATAATTAACAAAACTATTGTTTGCGTTATACGCAATTCTTAATTAGTATTAATTACTGCCGGCAAATAAAAGTAGAAACTCTGTTGCGGCCCATTCTTTATGGCATTCATATCATAAATCAGTGATTTAATATTATACATTCCTGCACAATAAAATTTATTCAAGTATGAAATTCAAAGTTTATTTATTTCGGACCAGCAGTCAAATAAAATGAAATTAATACTTGTAAAAAATAAATTTGGTCAATATTTGCGGAATTTATTATTTTTTTGTAATGAATAATATAATTGTTAATATTTTTTGTATTTACCAGTCATAAATTGTTATTATTAATTGAAAAAAAGTGAAGTATTTCTGAAATTGCAATTTTTTCAGAATTAATAGACAAATATTTAAATTTTTGTAAAAACCACGTCGTAAAAGACACAAAACTTTATATTTTTTCAATTACAATTTCAAAATCACCGATTTTTCCCTTTAAAAATCAAAAAACAAACAGAATTTAAAAAAAAATACAAAAATAATTTTTTGCTACTGTAATCTATAAATTATTACTTCTGCACAGATCAATTTGCAGTTTATAGAACAGGATTGTTGCTCTATAAATAGTTCCGTAATAATTTTCATACTACCTGTTGAAATACAAATGTAGTTTAAATTTGTAAAACCAGCCGTATTAAAATGACGGCAAATCGATCAGTAGACAAGTCGTTAAAATAGCAATCGACATCAGCGTCTCAGGTCTGTTCCGCGTTCATTCATTGCACTGGTTGCACTCGTCCATGCTAATTCAATGTGTACAATTGCAGCGCAGTCAGTGAACTTGAATAAATTGGTGCTCGCCCATGACGGGCGTGCGTAAATGGCGCACGTTGCGTGAAAAACCGACGCGAAACGTAACGAAACACCACTCGCGCGCGATTTTCACAGTCAAACGGCCGTTATAAATAAAACTTTCTCCGGTTTTAATATTGATAAATAGAGAGAAAAAGAGCGCGCGCGCGCGTGCAGCGATCTGCCCGTTTGGCGAGTAAAAGTTGGATAATAAGCGATAAACTAGCCGGAATTGAATCCTAATCTGAATTCGTAATAAATTGTTGCTGGACACGTACGAGGACAAAACACATGTTGATAACATATAATATATTGAGTGTTAAAATATCACTTGATTAAAATATTCACTTTCCTAGACGCAAAATGAAAGCATGTGCTTCTAACCTCAATTTACAGCATACAATTTTATTGTTTTTGCGATTTAATGTTTTGTTTTTGCAAAGAAATAATCAAAATATTTGAATACCTGCTGAATGATGAACTCACTCGTGATTTTACTGCGCAATGTATTAGGTAACAAATTTATAAAAAAGATAAAACACGAATTTATTTGCATTTTTTATAGACGACTCTTTGTGATTACCATAATTTCTAGGCGCGACAATACAAACGATAAATAATTTATCCGAAGACTATACTACACTAACCTAATTTACATTAAATGGCATTTTTGATATTTTTGACGCACTTGCTTGCTTTGCGCGCCCATAATACGAATTCAATCAATTATGTAATAGAAAATTTAATTTACTTTCCCTGCTATGACATCAATTCCAACACATACCAAAGTGATACGATGTATGCTCTAAAATAACTAAGCTCCTAATTGTAAGCAACCAATTATACACTTGTTAGTTACATAACCACATCTGTGTAGATGTAGATGTAGTATGTTTTTGTTAGCAGCTTTGGATTAAAATTTAGAGCATTTTATAGTTTTGAATCACGACAGGAAGAAATAGAATAGAAGCGTGAAAGAGAAAAGCAGCTTATCGAATGGCCATGGAGGCGAAGAAGAAAAGAAAACGTTATGCACAAGTTATGCACATTCGATTCATGCGATAGTGAAATTACCCCACCGCGCACTTCTTCGCGAGCTTCTACTTCTTCTCGGCGCGATCGGCCCGTCGCGGAATAGGTAAAAACTTTCGGACAGACGTGCACTTGAATCAGTTCGTTATTTAACGACAAAGAGTGAACATCAAGAAGTCCTATCGAATTAAAAAATAATAACAATAAGTGATAAGTGATTTTAAACACAATTTATGTGAGTATTGTTTTTTAAATTAAATTTTTGATTAGTTGTGGTCAATGAATGAAAAAATAATTAATGATAATCAAATTTAGTATTTGTAAAAAATAAAAAACATCCAAATCAATTTTTTTTAAATATTTTTGCTCATTATTCACAAAATTGTACACGGTTCCTTTGAGCGTTTAGAAAAAGAAGCAAAAATGGCAGAAAATACATCAAAAGTAGTTTACAAACATTTTAAAACACAACTTAATGTGAAATTATTAAGTTTTTACTTGGTTTTTATCTAAATTCCAATTTTGTTCCAATTTATTTTTATTTTATTTTTAAAATAAGAAAATTTCCAAAAATAAAGAAAAAATCACGACACTGATAGCAATATTAAACCCAAAAAAGCAAATAAATAATTAAAGATAATATTTGATATATACCATTGTTTTCTTCAATCTAAATCAACGTAAATTGATATGCAATTAAGACACAATTGTTTTTAGAACAAAAACAAGAACCACACGCCTATTGTTTTGTTTCGGTGTTCGAAAGAACAATACACGAATTTTTCGCAGTAACGGCGTTAATTTCCATAAATTAGATAAACGAGATTTGGTGTGATACGCATATTATGCTCGTTATTAGAGAAAGTATATGAAAGTTTGCTCTTGATCCTACACATCTCCAGAAAGTAATAATAATGTAGCCTATCCATAACATCAATCAACAAAGTCAACCACACGGAATGATTATTTACTTATTTATTATTAAATGAAACATTTATTTATTGCTTAAAAAGATTATGCTACTCAATAGCAATCAATTTATTATTATAAACAATTAATACTCACATGACGTAAATGTAAAAAATAAATTTAATTGCAAAAAGTAAAAGTGCGACCTCCGACCTCGCAAATATTGGCAACAAGATTTCTTCGCATTTTATTTGATTATATTTTATTTTACTGGCGTCATAAATGTGTTACAATCAATATTCATAGATGTACTTTGTTTTGAGATTCAATCGTGTGACACCAATACGATTACATAATTTACTGTTTGAAATTTCGATGATTTTTAGTGATGATAGGTCAGGAAAGAATAAAATAAATTTTTTATTATAAAATTATTCAATTCAAAATCGAATATAAGTAAAAAGTTTAATTTTCTATGGGAATTTTTATACATTCACAAAGAAAGTTGTAGTTTTTGTAACTTTATCAAAAGTAACTCAAGCATATCAAATAGTAAATAATGTAGATTAACACGCGGAATAATTAGGATTCGATATTGTCTCTGCGCAGACAATCGCAGACCTACTTCTTGCGGTTTAGAGTTCGCGGTCACATCGTCTCGATTCTTCGAGCATCTTGCCATTGAGTCCAACACACACAAGACTTCTCGCAACTCTCGTCGCGTTGTTACAATCACAAAATCATATAAATACAGCTGACGCTAACGCCGCGGTGAATGAGTTGGAAATATTTTACTGCAGTGCGTGATGAGCGAAACAGAAACTTGGTGAGATTATTAACGAGAAAAATGGCTACACTTTTATTAGTGAATTAGTGAAACCACATCAGATGGCAAATGGATGGCATACTAAGCTTAAATTACAACGAAAATCGAAACCGCTCTTATCCTCATTTCTTTTTGATGGCATTAATTAGTTAAAACTATTAAAATTTATCATCAAACTTTACTGCTAGAATGTCTACATTCTAAACCAATTCAAATTTAAATTTATTTGTCTTTAGATTAGATTGGATGTGAGAATAAAACACTTTGATTTTACTTGAGTTATGAACGGAAATAACGATTTAACGTTTAAGCATAACAAAACACTTTCCCTTTGTTAAAGAAAAAAACAAAGCAATTGCAACAAATGAAAACAAATCGCTATGAATTAATCGTAATAACGTTAATTGCCAGTTTGCATCCGTGCGCTTCGCAATTACTCATACGCGTAGTTCATTCATAATCATTATTGTAGATATCCATAAATAATATAATGGGAAAGTAATTTGCATAAATGAACATTTGTTTTAACTTAGACGCGAGCGATAGTGAAACTACGATATGATTATCTTCAATATCCAGATGGAAAAACAATTAATTTATTAATTACGTTTGCAGTTATTAAACAATCCTATAGTTTATAATCTTAATTAAAAGTGATGAAAATTACGTGCACCTGAATGTACAATTTAATTAGTTATCAACCGGTCAAATGCAAATAATTAATTAATAGCAAAGAAATATTTCTGCTCCAACAGTTTCGAAATCTGTAACAGATAAATCTTTTTGTCGTGTTTTGTTTTACGAGTGTGTTGGACTACTGCAACTAGTACAAAGTGAATGCGGAAATATTTCATTGCATTGCAACTTTTCATGTTTTCTGTTTTCTGTTCATGTTTTCATGTTAACTGATTTAGTTATTTCAACGCCTTTTTTTTGGTTTAACACGTTTGTTAATCCAGATTTGAGTTGAGATTCACGTCATATTTGGAATTTGCTAACAAGGAGTTGATTAACTTGTTGATATTTGCTTACATATTTGGAAAATCATTAATCTACATGTATATTTTTGTATTTATTTATATTTTTCATGATTCAATGAAATTTAACGCATTTTTTTCCAATAAAAACTCAAAAATCGGAAAATTGATAGAAATTTCTACACAACATAATGAAAAGCTCATTGAGTTGCATAAGTTTTAATTTTTTCAAACTAATTGATAGCTATTTGAAGTCGGCAATTAAAATCAAATAAAAATTCAGTGACATTTACCAACCCGCTGATATTTAGCCGACACATATAAAATTTAACGCCTAATCACCTCCAACCGCTAATTGAATACTAAATATATAAAAAAAGTGTTAGTATTATGACATTTTCTGTAAAACAAGAAATCATTTCTAAATTTATCACTGTAAATGCCCACATTGCACACATTTTATCAGTATACAAATATTAATGAAAGTTTAACGAGTATTCCACTCAATTCCACTCAATCCAACAGTTTCCTTGTGGATTTTGAATTTACAGCCGACTTCGACAATTATTATTAATTCTCTTATAACGGCGTGGATATTACGCGAATGCGACATCAAACGCTTGCGCTATACTGCAAATTGCTTCGGACTGAACGCGGTTTGTATTTGGGAAAGCAAATCGCATGCGACCGGTGCGAGTTTGTGGATTTCCTCAATTTAAACGAATGCAATGCGTTCGAATTCTGCATATACGGATAATGTATGGCACTCCTGCGTTTCGCCAACACACCTATAATGGTCTACTTTTCGGAACGAATTTTGTCCGAGCAGCGAGACAAGTCAAACTTGACGCTGGAAAAAAATCAATGGGAATGACCTGAGTTGAACACACCTGCAATTTCAACTGTTACATTAGATAAATTATCATAGGAAGTTAAATAATCTTTAAAATAATTTATATAAAAAGCATGATTAATACTTTAAATAATTTACACCTGTAAAACTTTTTTATTAAGATTTTATTTTTAAAAATCTGAACTAGATGAATGTTTAAGCATGAAGCTTGAAGCGTTTAGCTTAGAGCAATGAGCCTTGGTGAAAGTAGTTACATCATTCGCATCGTACCGGACGTTAGACCAAATTAAAAATCATAACAAACACACCCTGTGACACTTTTCGCGACGTCGTAACGCAATAACTATCTATCTTATGCAATACTTTATTATCTCTTAATTATTTTTATTCTTTTTTCTTACAGAATGAAACTACACGCATTAGGTGTATGCCTCCTGGCATTGATTACGTCCAACGCGGCATTACCTCAGGTAACCAATGGTCCCAGCTATACAAAACTAAGCGCAGAGCAAATCAAACACCTGCAAAGCAAAGGTTTCGGTCCAACTGTACCAACACCATTCAGAGCAACACAAAGTCTAGTAAATGAACATGATGAAGATGAAGAAGAGGAAGACGAAGATATTGCTCCAGCTCAAAGTCAAGCAAGGAGACCAGTTTACGGAGATGATTACAATCTGCAGAATGTGATTCCTGTGCAGGTGAGACCCGCACAGAGACCGCAACCACAGCCGCAACCACAGATCTACAGAAGACCGATTCAACCTGTGCAACAACCTCAATACGTGCAACATCAACATCAACCACAACAACCTGTATATTCCAAAGCGGTATAGTAAAACTCAAAATTTTAAATTTTTTGAAGTAAAAATATTATTTTTATAGCAATCGAAAGACCGTAGTAAAGTGGAAGAAGAAATCGAAGAAGAACCTGATAGGTTAAGTCTCCTCCTACCAAATTCTAAATTTGACTGTACAGGAAAAAACACCGGTTATTATGCTGATGAAGACCTCCAATGTGAAGTATTCCACTACTGCCAGGATAACGCTAAACATTCATGGATCTGCCCCGAGGGTTTCACCTTCCATCAAGTGCACCTCATCTGTATGCCCCCTGGAGCAGATAATATCTGTGCCAAATCATCCCAGTTCCACTTTGTTAACGAATACCTTTATAAACCTGTTAATCTCGAAGAGCACCAACGCAAGCCAAACATTTCATTGAAATACTCTGACCGCTATTACCCGGAAAATTACTACAGCCACAACAGCTATGAAGAAGACGATGAAGAAGAGGATGAGGATGATAGACAGCAATACGTACAGCAACAACAGTATCACCATCAACGCAAACCGGTATGTGGTGATCAATCGGACGTGTTCTAGGTTACTTACTAATTTGTGTGTATGTTGGTGTGCAGGTACGAGTTGGATTACAGCAAACCGCACAGCAGCATCAGGTGCTGACTGTGGTGCGTCCGACCGCTAACCTCCGGGCGGCGTCGTCCGAGCCGACGGGTCAGGTTTTCAGGTCGCCCGAAGAGGTGAACATTTCGCTGCAGCAGAGAAAGCCGCAGTACGTTACGCAGAGGTATCGCGATGAACTTGCCGGCATCTAAGCGGCGCTGATTTATATTTATGACTCAAACAGTATGTATTTGTAATTTTTTGTTTCTGTCTCAGAAGATAATCTTATTTATTGTTATGTGCATTAATGCCACGCCAATGTTGTTGTTGTGAGGTTATACATTATTGTTAATAAAGTATTTTGATTTGTAATATAAAATTCGACCAATTATTTTATTCCTGTGCAAAATTTAAAAAAATTGCGCTTTTTTATTTTGATTTTTTTGGCTGCTAAATTAATCTAACGGTTTTACGGCGTTTGAGTTCTAAACCTAGGTTAGAATCTATGTTTTTGATCAAAATTTTAATTTTTTGGATTTAATATGTTTTACGTATAGAATTGTGACACAATGTTTAATTTTTTTGACGTATTTTGCTTCTTTTCATCTTCAATTACCTCAAAAATTGTCTACAATTTGTTATAATTCTGCACTTGCACTACTTTAAGTGTAATCTTGGTTGCCTATATTAAACACCTCCTAACCACATATAACAGTAAATCAAACACAACAAAATTTGTATCCGCTGATTAATGAATGTTTTCCACTTGTCGCTTCCTCTAATTATCCTTCAACACAAATGACAAAACACAAGCAACTATCAATTATACAACTGTATATTGTTATTATATTATATTTGCTTCTTCGCAAAAATAATATAATTGGCGTCAATTACTTCGAAAAAACCGCAAATGATTAAAAATGCTCATCATATTTAAGTGTGTTTATAATAATTGTATTTTAATCTTCTAATAATTTTACGCCTGAAATTGCGCAGTTGTCCTTTGACGGATCATAGTCACAATAATATTAAAACTGACTGAATGAAGTCATGTCAACCCAAGCCAAACAGCGAGGAGGTAAACACAACAAAGCTAAATCGGCAAAATCGGCACAGGAGGTAGATAAATGATAATATAATTTGTTGTTACTTGGATGCGTTTGTCGTTGTTGTTTTGTCATAGTTGGCTTGAAGTTTAACTATAATTTACTGACTTTAAATGTGTATAAAGTTATATTAAAGTAATATTTTATATTTAAAAACAAGGAAATTCATGATTTAAGACAAAAATGATTGTATTTTTTAAATCTTGAAATTTCAACGTTGAAAATAATAAAATCTGCAAGTAAACAACTAAAAAATAAAAACCTAACCTAATTTCAAAACTCAACTAAGGAAAAACGAGGTTATATATCAAAGGAAGCAAATGCAAAAATAATTTCTTTTTTCAGAGTTATTTTTGGGACAATTTGTAACTTTTTTGCAAAATTGTACTACCACTGTAATTTACATGATTAAAATATTGCAAAAGTTAGTTTAAGCAAATTTCAAACACATCAAGTATGATCGAATGGCATCAACAAGTAGTATGCCGAATGCAAGAACCATAACGTTCGTTACTTCTTGTTGCTCCACGTTGTTCCTGCCAGTGTGCGTGTGTACGCCTCGCAGAATACGCGCCGCAGTGGCTGTCGACTTCGACGGCATCGCCATTCTTCAGTGGCTCTTTGTTTACCGCCGTGGCACGCGCGCGCGTTTTGCCCTCGAGCACGATGCGCGACTTTGTTACGCTCAACGTATTGCATCTCTGCAAAACAATTTGTCACGCTATCCTCCGAAACACACCTTAATCCAAAGTTAATGTCACGAAGTGATGTCAGTCCGCTCCAGGATTGACGCGCAAAAACATGCCGCATTAGTGCTCGTGTCGTCGCGAAATCCACACCGCACTATACTACCCAAACCAAAGAAAACCACCAAAGAAGATAACAGAAATATTACGACTTGGAAGAAATTTTGTTGAAAAACTATGCGTTTTGATGTGCATCTGATTAGTTTTCTTCTTGTAGTTGTTGCGAAACATGTTGTTTGCATTTCGGACGCCAGGATTGTGCAGGTATTAATTAATTAATTAATTAACTTACTTATTAGTGTAATTATTACAAAATATGCGGCGGTAATATTTGTAACAATCAACAGCGTGAAATTTATTCAAAACTTTCCACCAGACTAGAATTTACTCTAGATATTATAAAATCAAACAATTTTTACTTTTTTAAATAAATTTAAACTAAAAAACTTTATTTACGCATTTAACGTAAATAATTATATAATTACGGCTGTTTTAAGCTTTTGAGATTTTTTTTTGAAGTAAAATTTTCTGTAATTTTATGCAACCAAACAAACATGGCAACATGGCATAAATTTACATATGTGTGCATGTGTGCTCTTTAACGTTTTGTTTTGCTGAAATTCAGATTGTTAACTTCCAAACTCCTCTAACGGTTTGCTAACGATTTGCACACAACATATAGAAATGATTAAAATCGCGCGCCCGTGTGTCTTCTTCGGCACGTGTTCCGAGCGAGTAATTTGAGGTCGTCACGCGCATTTTTATTGTTCTCATTTAAATACCGTAACGCACCGCGCCGCGCTCGAAGTTAAAGCTCAAGACGAAGGAAAAAGTATTCGAAATTAATTAAGCGAGCGTTTGCGAAACGATCAATTGCATTATGAATTATGATTAAGTCATCATCATTATTATCGTATCAACTATTTATTTAGTGCGTTAAATTTTCTTTATTAAAATTTAAATTTGCCATATTTCAATAGGGTACTAATGAAAATTTAGGAGAAGCTCTGCAATTTCTTCGAGAATATGAATCGGACGCGTCGAATATGTGCTTCCGGGTGAGTACGGCCCAATGGAAGTACTCGACTAATATGACGGACTTTAACAAGCGCCGGATGATTGACGAGCAGATGTTAAAAGCAAAGTTTGATAAGTTATCGTGGAAGCGCGCTGTTACCTTCGACTGGACTAAATTACCCGATCCAATGGCGCGGAGACAGCTTAAATTACTCGTGACCAATGGCAAAGCAAGTTTACCAGATGACAAATATAATGAGGTAATACTATTTATATCAGGTAATTCAACAACTATAACTGTAACCTTTCCTATAATCTATTTGTATTTTGAGGTTATATAATGTAAAATATTCAAATAATTATTTGCAACCACACCAAAGGCAATTATGTGTAAATTTATATCAAGTAGAATGCAATTTATTAGTTAAATTAGATTAATATCACTTACATTTATCATTTTCTGGTTTTTGCGGATGTAATACACTAACAAAATTGTAAACAAACCGTACTAATGAATCAATTTTTAAATATGCACCCAGGCAACCAAACATACACCAATCCAACAATTTTTTAAAAACTGAGTGATTTTACAAATAACATTTGTAGATACATCACTTGATATCCGAAATGAAAGATATGTACAACAGCGTACGAATTTGTGCATTCAACAATATGGAAAATCGATTCTGTGATTTAGTCTTAGATCCAGATGTGTTTCAATTAATGGCACACTCGAGAAATCCTGAAGAACTTACACACATCTGGAGAGAATGGCACGATAAAACTGGTCCATCAATGAAGAACAAATTCATGCGTTATATACAACTAGCAAATCAGGCAGCACGATTAAACGGCAAGTATAAATCATTTCACTTAAATCGATTTATTTTTATCTATACAATTAGGATTTGTGGATGCTGGTGAACAAATGCGTTACCAATACGAAGACGACAACTTTGAATATGAACTGGCAGACTCATGGCAAAAGATTCAACCCCTGTACAAAGAACTTTTTACTTATGCAAGGCGCAAACTAATAGAAAAATATGGCGTTGAGCATATTCGTCCCGGTGGACCAATACCAATCCATTTATTGGGGAATATCTGGGGACAAGACTGGGCACAAATTACAGAACTTCTTATGCCGTACCCAGCAGTACAAAAACTTGAAGTTACCGATGAAATGTTACGACAGGGATTCACGCCGTTGCGAATGTTTCAAATGGCCGAAGAATTTTTCACTTCAATGGGTATGAAACCTCTACCACCTGAATTTTGGAGACATTCGTTGTTTGATAAACCGACTGATAGGAAAGTACAATGTACAGCTAGTGCTTGGGATTTTTGCAATAAAATTGACTACAGGTACAACCAAACTGTACAATGCTTGTATTATGTGTAAAAAAGATGTGATTCTAATCAAAATGGCGGTTTCTTGTAGAATTAAGCAATGTACTGAAGTAAACATGGAGAATTTCGTAAATGCTCACCATGAGATGGCTCACGTGCAATATTATATGCAGTATAATGATCAACCATTCCTATACAGAGATGGCGCTAATCCAGGTAACCAAGAAATAGGTTAAAATTTATATTTACATGATTAAAATGTTTTTACTAAAGGTTTCCATGAAGCAATATCAAATGCAATTGATTTATCAGTGTACAACCCAAGCCACTTTTTAAAAATTGGCCTCCATCAAAACAACTCAAATACTTATGAGTTAAACATGAACTTCTTGATGATGATGGCATTAAAAAAAGTCGCGTACGCTCCATATGCTTTACTCGTTGATCAGGTACTTAGTCACACCCAAAATGATTTTTTTTTGTTATTATAATTTATGTTTATAAAAATACTAGTGGCGTTTCCATGTGTATCGCGACGGTATTCAAACGATGAATTCTGCATGGTGGGAGCTACGCTTGCGGTACCAAGGCGTCGTACCACCATTACCACGCACCGAGAAGCAACTAGACGCCGCCTCCAAAAAGCATATAATTTCCGACGTACCCTATACCAAGTACTACGTCGGCTTACTGTTGGAGTTTCAATTTCAAGAAGCGCTGTGTACTGCTGCGGGACATTCGGGGCAATTACACACGTGCGACATTTATCGCTCGCGTGAAGCAGGACGTTTACTTGGGTGAGTGCGCACGAATTAAATATAAATTAAATGTTTTGCATAGTTATTTAATGACTCTTTACGCTTTTGTACTTGAAATCTAAATTTAAATTTATAAACCACGAGGGCCCTCATGCAACGCCTGTTTTATAAATGAGACCATGTTTTCTTTCATTAGTCGGCTGACCATGACTCAAACTTACTGCTTACCCCCACTACTATTATATGCAGGTACACGCAGCTGGCACCCTTGCTTGCTACTACCACTTTATACCTAGCGCACCTACCCCCACTTCTTTTTGCAGGTTGAGTGCAGGTATGAAAGGGCGGCGCGCAGTGACTGCTTTGCTCAATCGTGCCTGAGTTGTCCAGCAGTCCACACCCTTTGAATTTGGTTGCTTTCCCTACTTTCCGCCCTTTCTTTTATCGTAAATTAAGTGATTTTTCAAGTTTAAAACGATTAAATCATGTTTGCAAGTGATATGATTGTGAATCATTACTCAACTTCATTACAATTGTCGCTACTAGTGTTAATTAACATAGGTTAAATTAAATTTTGTACTTACAGCGAAGCATTGAAGTTGGGTCGGGCGCGTAACTGGCGTGATGTCATCCGGATTATAACCAAAGGTAAAGAAGATCGCCTAAGTGCCGATCCACTCCTCGACTACTTCCAACCACTACTAGTCTGGTTAAAAATGCAAAATCGCGACGAGAGCGTTATAGGTTGGACCACGAACTCGGAAGACATGTCGCTCTTCCAACCGCTGATTTACAAATCAACATGTGATAATATCTTTTCATCACGTACCACACTACTGATGTTGTGCATCAGTTTAGTTATACAAATGTTTTGATAGTAATTAAATTAAACTCACGTGTGTGTAAATAAATAGAAAATGAAACACTTACACTAATACACATTAGATAAAAGTATGTATGTATTTAGTTAAATTAAACAATGAATATAGATTTATTCACGATACAAGATTAATATAATGTCTGTCTTATGCTTATGCTAGTTGTTTTAGTACTGCAAAGTGATTGTTCGTCGATGCTCTGCGTAGCGTTTTCTTGATAAGAATCAAACTGGTTTTCATTGTGTTTATGTTTTGCTTCGTCTTCTTGATTATCGCTAGTTTGCTGTTTAGACCTTGACGCAGAGTTTTATCATGCGTTGCATATTATATTGACCGAATTTAAACATGAAATTAACTTTAATGTTGACGACGTTGGAAACCAAGCCAAAAACCACCTTCGATTGCTGGGAAGAACTGATACTTAGCTAATTTCATCGGAATGGTTGTCTTTTTAATAACAGTAATTTCAAAGTTAGTCAAAATGTGGAACATCAATGTTTTACATTCCATTAACGCAAATCTAGATGCAATGCAATTTCTAGGTCCCACTCCAAAGGGAAGATAGGAATAAGGCACAATCTGGTCCATATTTTCCTCTGAAAATCTTTCGGGATCAAACCTGCTCGGATTAGGGAAATATTCCTCGTCGTGATGAATACCCGACATTGGAAGTAGAAGCATATCACCCACTTCAAGATGCACGGGTTTCTCACCAGGTTTTTCCGGTTGAATGGTGTATGCTTTGGTGCACACTCTATCTGCCGAAATAAAAGGCGGATTCTTCCTCATGTTTTCTGTTATAACCATATCCATGTATTTCATTTTATTCAGGACGTCATAAGTTAATTTTCCGTTGTTTTCTTTAAATGTTTCGTCAATTTCTTCGATTAACTTCTTTTGAACATCAGGATTGAGAGCTAATTCATAGCACATGAATGACATCATCGTGGAAATAGTATCAAAACCAGCAAAGAAAAAGATGAAGACTTGTGCGGCCATGTCTTCATCACTCATACCCACATTAGTTGTAGTGCCTCTACCAATACTAGATTCTTCAACTGATGAGAACCCTGCTTCTTTTTGTTCGTGTACCTCTTCATATTTCAAATTACCCTTGCGCGCTTCAATCAAGAGATTAATCATGTCTGGCCGATGAATTTTCTTCTCCACACGATAATTCACAGTCTCTCGAACTAAGTTTTGGAAGTAATTTGTGGCGTCTTTATCGAATAAATGTATTCCAAGAAACTGCAATCCAGAAATGAATTTATTCTTAATGTAAACTTATAATTATCAACTTACATCGGTAAACGCAGGTGAAATAAAGTTGAGAGTAAGTTTTGCCATCGACCAGAAACCTTTAAAAGTAGTAGCAGCCTTTCCTCTCATATAAAATTCATTTTCTGGTTCTTTAAGTGAATCCACAGTTACACCAAACGCGCAATTCCCAATAACATCATTAGCATAACGTGTAAACGCATCTTTCATCTCCAATTCAATAATATCTTTTTTCTGCTCTAAATAAAAATTAACAAATTGTCGTGCATTCTGTTCCATAAGCGAAAACATAGCACGCATTTTGGAAGAGGTAAAGGCCGGGCTCAAGGTTGCACGCATTTTTTTCCATTCATCGCCTTGCAACGAAAGCAAATTACGATTCCACAACGGTTCCTGCTTCTCCGAAATAATAGATCTATGATTGACAAAATGATCGAAATCTTTAACGGTAACTTGTTTAATTAATTCAGGATCACGCAACATCAACGCCGGTCGGTTTCCTTGATGTATTCCAACGTAGCTAACACATTAAAAAGATATTGTCAATATTTAGATTTTAATAAATCGTAATTTTAATACTCACCGACTGCTTTTAAAGCGATTGTAGGCGTTTTGAGTCATTTCAGTGGAATTTTCCAATCCAAACAATAATTTAAAGTTGTCACCAAGTATCGGATAGGTAAAACCTTGTGGAACATTTCGTTGTTTCCAAAATTGTTGAGGTTTTATAATATAATAATAAGCCAGCAATGCTGCTCCCACAAGAAACACAAACCAAAACATTGTATTAAATCTGAAACAGAGTTGTGAAGCGTTTCAGCGCAAACTAACAGTTATCCACAAATATATATCACTCACCAGATACTTGAAGTTTGATATTTATTTATAAACCTTTAAATAAATTACTTATCTACGTTTAGTTGCACTTACCGATGAAACGTTGTGAAATATTGTAAACGTTGTTTACGGTAGACCGAAAACAAAATTATCGTGAGTCCTTGAAGCGCCACTTGTCAGTGGCTGCTTGGTTTCTAATGGTATTATAATTAAGAAGAGTGAGATAGTTGCTCTTTACTAATGTGTAAAATAAGCAGCGCACGTGATTTTTTACTCCCACTTATATAATAATTATTCATAATACCGCATTGGGTTTTAATATTTACTAAATGTTTTATAAATCAAATTGCGTATGTTTATATAAATAAAAAGTAAACAATGAATACAGAATTATTCAAATTACAAACGTTGTGCCTCTGCCGCATGATTAGGTAGTTTTGTTGCTGCCAAGTACGGGTTATCAATGTCAACGTTACTCTGCGTTGGGCTTTCTTCCATTTTTTCGGGTTCCGGTTCTGTCTCATCGTCATCGTCCATATCGTCGGGTTCATCTTTAGATTCCTTTTCTTTTCACTGTCGGTTTTGACTCGCTTTTTAGGCGGTGTTTTTAATTCTTCAACTTTGTATTCCAATTCCTCGGGATCGAAGATTTGATCTTGTGGTAGTAACGCGCTTAAATACGGTGGAAACTGTGGTTTAACAGAGATCACTAAAACATTTATAATTAAAGATTAAATTGAACACTTATTAAATATCTATAAACTTACATGGGAACATTATTTCATCATTCTCAAATAAATTATGTGTTTGACTTGTTTTTGCCAAGAATTTAGTCAAAGCTTTCTCCACATCTCTTTTTTGTACTGCATATTTTTCTCTTATAGCTTCATAATCAATTACAGGTTGTTTATGTGTCTAAAATTACATTTTTAGAGTAAATGTTTGAGTTAACAAATGTGAACTTACTGGTGTTCTGATATATGCATGTGGATCTGGGAAAGATGGCAAATGAGATGGTATAAAACTAGGCAGAGATTGCTTCACTCCAGCTCTTAGCATATTCAATTGTTTTGGCTGAGTTTGTGCCTGCAGTGATGGCAAGACTGTCCTCTTAGTACCCTTTGCAAAATCACTTAATTTTGAGAAATCAATACCTATAAAAATATAAGGCAACACCATCAAAATATATTTCAAAGAATTATTTGTAATGTTATTTACCCATTTCAACAAAACCTAATATGACATCTGCAATCAAAGGTTCTGTTCTTCCTGATAACTCATAGTAGTTCCTACTAGTGTTCCCAATTTCAACTAGAACTAATAAATATGTACAGAAATTAGTGGTTTGCTTAATACAAAGTTTTTTGAAAACTTACAACACTGAAACATTTCTGTTAATGTCTCTAGGACTTCACCTTCTGCAGTATCAATCCCAAGCTCTAATAAAATAGTGGATACACCCGCTACTAACATTTTTCGATATGGATTCACTTGAGGCTCCATTTTAGCTGAATTGTGCTCAGAAATTGCGCTTGTTTTTCTTACAAAATCTGCGACAACACGATATTTGTGTATCAAACAACCTTATGAAGTAAATAAACACAACTGTACATAACCCTAGCGAATCTACAAGCTGTTAGCTGAGGAATACATAAAATTTCAGATAGTGCATCGCAGCGCCATCTCATTTTAAAAACTAGTAACAATACAATCTTAGAAACACAGAGAATGAAATACTTTCATTTTGTTAAGTTGATTTAAGTACATAGTACTTTATTCAAAAAAATATTCTTCTTATAAAATTACAAATTTGGTATTGCGCCAATATTTTTCATAGTTTAACTATGTTGTCCACCGAATTAAAAATCTTTATCTGATTTGCTGGCGTCGCTGATACCCCAGCCAGAAACCACCTTCAAGCCCCGGATTGAATTGATACTTTTCAAGCTTCATTGGAATAGTTGTCTTCTTAATAACAGTTATCTCAAAATTATTCAAGATATGGAACATCAATGTCTTGCACTCCATCAAAGCAAACCTAGACGCAATACAATTTCTAGGTCCCGCTCCAAACGGAATGTAAGAATAAGGTACAATCTGGTCCTTGTTTTCCTCAGAAAATCGTTCTGGATCAAACTTGCTCGGATTAGGAAAATATTCCTCATCGTGATGAATGCCCGACATTGGCAGAAGAACAATATCACCCACTCTTAGATGCACCGGTTCCTCGTCAGCATTTACTGGTTTAATAGTGTATGGCCTAGTGCACACTCTATCAGTCGAAATAAATGGAGGATTCTTCCTCAAAGTCTCTGTGACAACCATATCCATGTATTTCATTTTATTCAGCACGTCATAAGTTAATTTTCCATCGTTTTCTTTGAATGTCTCGTCGATTTCCTCAATCAACTTCTTCTGAACATCAGGATTGGTGGCCAACTCATAACACATGAATGACATCAATGTGGAAACAGTGTCAAAACCACCAAAGAAAAAGATGAAGACTTGCGCAGCCATATCTTCATCACTCATGCCAATATTCGTTGTTTTGGTGTCTTTACCAATACTAGATTCTTCAACAGATGAGAATCCTGCCTCTTTTTGATTGTTAGATTCCTCGTATTTTAATGTTCCTTTACGTGCTTCCATCAAGAGATTAATCATGTCAGGTCGATGAATCTTTTTCTCTTCACGATAATTTACAGTATCCCGAACTAAGGTTTTGAAATACTCTGTTGTAGATTTATTGAACAAACGTATTCTGAAAAACTGTAAGGAATGTTAAATTATATTAAAATTGGTTTTTAAATATATCCTACTCACATCAGCAAAAGTAGGCGAAATAAAGTTAATGAGAAACTTTAGCGATTTCAAGAATCCGGCAAAATCAGTAGCATCTTGCCCTTTCAAATAGAATTCATTTTCTGGTTGTTTAAGTGAGTCTACATTCACACCAAACGCACAATTTCCAATCACATCGTTAGCAAAACGTGTCAACGAATCCTTCACCTCCAATTCTATAGTGTTTTTCTTTTGTTCCAGATAGAAATTAACATATTGTTGTGCAGTTTGTTCCATAAGTTTAAACATGGCACGCATTTTGCTGGAGGTAAAGGTCGGGCTCAGTGTCGCGCGCATTATTCTCCAGTGCTCATCTTGTAAAGAAAGCAAATTGCGATTCCACACAGGATCTTGATTCTCCGAAACAATGGGCCTGTGATTAACAAAGTGATCAAAGTCTTTCACAGTGACCTGTTTAATTAATTCTGGATCACGCAACATTAACGTCGGTAGAGTTCCTTGATACATTCCAACATATCTGTGAATAAAAATGTCTTAGAATTTGATGACAAGTGAAATGATTTTAATGAAATTACCGTCTGTTTTTGTAACTGTTGTATATATTCTGAATCATCTCTGTGGTAGTCTCCAATCCACGAATGATTTAAAGTTTTCCCCAAAAGCGGATATGGAAATCCTTGGGGGACATTTTGTTTTTTCCAGTACAGTTGAGGTTTTATTAGGAAATAATAAAACAGCAATACTGATGCCACAAATATTAACACCCAAAACATTGTATCGGTTCTATATAACTAATTCGGAGCGTGTTTTAAATTATACTAAAGTATGTTGTCAATTATTCAACTTTATATAACAAGTCAGATGCTTGAAATTCAAGTGGAGATGAAAAATACGGTCATTTAATCTAATTATTTGCGTGATATTTACGTCTACTTGCATTTATGCTGAATCACAGGCGAATGACTTAACAAAATTTAATCGATATATAATGAGACATCAATATTCAAGCAAGGCCATGAACCGCTATTTGTAAACATACTTCTAATTACATATGTTGGCGAAAACGATAGTGATACATAATGGTCCTCAAATAAACAATACCATAACTTATCAGTTTAATCCAATTTTTCCAAATCGTGTGTCTCGAGAGACTGTAGATCTTGTCTCAAAACATGTGAATCCTGATAAAATAAATTTAAAAAAACTATATTCTTATAAAGATTATAAGTCCCGAGTGTTGAAATTAATAAAAAAACATAAAAATTTGTTTGTTTTGTTTTAATTAAAAAGTAGTAACATTTTTACGTCGTTGAAGACCAAGCCAAAATCCACCCTCAAGTGCCGGAGTAATCTGACCTTTGGCCAACTTCATCGGAATTGTTGTTTTGCTAATAACAACAACTTCAAAATTACTCAAGATGTAGAACATTAACGTTTTGCATTCCATCAACGCAAATCTAGATGCAATGCAATTTCTTGGTCCGGCCCCAAATGGAATGTAAGAATATGGCACAATTTTATCTTTATTCTCATCCGAGAAGCGTTCAGGATCAAATCTACTCGGATTCGGAAAGTAATTCTCATCGTGTTGAATTCCTGCAAGAGGCAACAGCAGTAAAGCGCCTTCTTCTAGATGAACAGGAACCTCGCCAGGTCTTTCCGGTTGAATAATATACGGTCTGGTACATTCTCGATTTGTCAAAGAAAATGGCGGATTCTTTCTTAAATTCTCAGTTACTACCATATCCATATACTTCATTTTGTTCAAAACATCGTAAGTAAGTTTTCCGTTGTTTTGTTTCGAAGTGACGTCAATTTCCTGAATAAGCTTCTTTTGAATATCAGGATTGACAGCCAACTCATAGCACATAAATGACATCATGGTGGAAATAGTATCAAAACCACCAAAGAAAAAGATAAATACTTGCGCGGCCATGTCATCATCATTCATTACAATCTTTGGTCGATTAGAATTTTACCGATTTCAGATTCTTCTACGGTTGAGAATCCTGTTTCATTTTGTTCGTTGGACTCTTCATATTTCAATTGACCTTTACGAGCTTCCATCAAGAGGTGGATCATGTCAGGACGTTGAATTTTCTGTTCCTCACGCACCTTCACAGTATCTTTAACCAACGTTTTGAAAAAAGCAGTGGAAGATTCACTAAACACACGTAATCCCAAAAACTGCAAAGTTTGATATTATTAACAACATAAAATAAAAATAAGTAATAAATATTAAGGAAAAACCTACATATGCAACCCGTGGCGCAATCAAACTTAAGGTAAACGTTAAAATTCTCCGGAAACCTGCAAAATTAGTAACATCTTTCCCCTTCATATAAAACTCATTCTCTGGTTCTTTCAGTGAATCTACCGTCACACCAAACGCGCAATTACCGATAACATCACTAGCAAAACGAGTAAATGAATCTTTTAGCTCCAATTCCAGAATATCTTTGTTTTGTTTAAGGTAAAAATCAACAAATTGTTGTGCAGTTTGTTGCATCAGAGAAAACATCGCCCGCATTTTGATGGAAGTAAAAGTCGGGCTTAAAGTTGCGCGCATTGTCTTCCATTCTTCGTTTTTCAGCGAAAGTAAATTTCGGTTCCATAATGGCTCCTGTTTCGCAGAGACGAACGGTCGATGATTAACAAAATGGTCAAAATCTTTGACGGTAATTTGTTTGATTAATTCTGGATCCCGCAACATTAACGCTGGCAGAGTTCCTTGATACGTTCCAACATATCTACAATAATAAATTTATCAATGAATTAAACTTTATAATAATTAATTTACCGGCTATGTTGGTGACGATTGTAAGCATTTTGAATCATTTCAGTTGTAGTTTCCAGCCTCAAAAACGATCTAAAGCGGTCACCCAGTATAGGATACGGTGGTCCTTGAGGGACATTTCTTTCCTTCCAGTATAGTTGAGGTTTAATAAGAACATAATAAAAGAATAACACAGCAGCCACGAAAAACAAAACCCAAAACATTATTACAACCTAAAACACTTGTTCGTCAGCTGTATGTAACTCAACTAAATTTTTAAGCGGTTATCTCATGTTTTCATAAATAAATAAAGACATATAAGATTACTGAAGGTCAACAATAAGAAATAATCTCAAGTATATCAACATTATCCACTTAAATACTATATGCAACCAAGAATACTTCTCATGTAAATAAAACATGTCGGTATTAATCATTTTTATTCCACTTTGATATTAATATGTGCAATTACTTCAATGATGGTAATTAATCAAACCGTCTCAGCATTCCGTTCATTAGCGTTAGAAATGAATTAATCCGTTACTAATAATTAAACTATTTACATGTTGACACTACCGCAATAAATTATATCATTAAATGAGTATTCCTCGCGTTCAGACTTGAAACGAATAATAGACGTATAAAAATATGCATATAAGTAATTCCTTCTACAGGGTGTCGCCAACATGGCAACGCTATTTACAGGTGTATTCTTCTACTCGTTCGCTGCACGTGTCGCATTGCACCTGGCAGCACCAGTGAAACTTGCAATTGCACTGCCACTGTCTATTGAACTGGTGCGTGTTGTATCCTCGTCCACAACACATGAGATTACAACCGTCGTGACCTGAAATTGGAAATTAATTTAAATATCATAGAGATAAGCGTTGTTAGCGAGTTTACCTTGTGAAGTTCTATTGCAATTCCTGCCGTAGGTTCCGAGTGAACCAGACGCCAGATCTTTCTCACAATAATTCGGAGATGATTGTAAAAATACTAAATCTGTTTGTTTTGGACGTTTTTTCGTGGGAATTCTGCCTTTTTTAAGCACTAGATGAATTTTACCAGTGGTTGTGAGTAAATCTTGAGGTCTAATCGGAGCTAGACGTTTGTGTAATGTAAGTTGAGGTTGTGCTGTCATGGTGGCTACCGACCGTGCGCGATAATACTTTTTCATTAAATTATCACCAATATGGCGGAATGGTGGTAAAGATTTCCAGCAGGTTTTCATCGTACAACTGCCAGATACACCATGGCATTTACATTCGGTGATGAGATTCAATTTAATCGCCTATTTAAACATACAACACAAATTAATGTACAATTGGTTGCATATATAACACATATTAATACTAACCTTACGACCAGCTTTGTTATTGTGTAAATTCATGAGAGACCGCTCGTCGCCTTCAAGTTCCCTGGCATCGAGGAATTTCCGCGCAAAACGCATCCCAAATGCAACGTCTACACTACACCCCGACCACTTCCATCCAGCAGGGTGGGTTCCCGAGGGCGTGGACCTGTTGCACATCCGCAGGTGGAGATGTTACCTCGTGCGCATGCGGCTGTAATGGCGTAGGTCACCCCTGCGCTGTGTATCGCGTAGGTGAAAGCTGCTTCTCTTGAACCTTTAATAAAATATAATATTAATAAATCAACGCAATTTTGTTTTGTTTTTCTTGATTCACCCGACTATTCTGACACCTACAAGTTGAAATCTTCATATAAAATTTATATGAATATGATAATAAGACGCCATTAGCTGCATCTTTGCATAAATGTGATAAATGTGCGCGGCGGTGAAGTGTTTGATAACCGATCATTAACATTAATATGCCGTGTCGCGCGTGTTCATGAGCGGACGCGCATCGAGTGCGAAAGTCCGAGACAAGCGCCACAATCGCGCAGCTTATTTCGTATGCGACGCAGGCCTTCACGCCTTCGAATTGTCTCGGTCGCACAAAGGGCACGCCGCCTCGCTGAATCTAGAAATTATACGATAGACGATCCCGTTGAAAAGTTTCATCCGAAGATATTGTTTCGATAAAAGTCGCTTTTTTGACGTCTGTTCGTCTCTCAAACGCGGTGCGTGTAGAAAAAAAGCCGCCATTGTGTTCACAACAATCCATTACGAATCCGGCTGTAATGCATTCTGGGCACGTCGCATCGTTTTCATGTGATGGAACATTGCGGAGATAATTAAATTTATAATGAGATATTTTAAGTTCGTAATAAATTGATGAAAGCAGAACGAATTTTGTGAAAACATAACATCTGTGACTGCAGCGACCTCCAGCGGGGGATTTTTTAACTCTCGAGTAGGTTATGCGCGTATTTTATTTTAATTCGATAGTTTATTGCACGTCGCAAGATTATAAGCTTCTCGAATAACACAATAATCTGCTCTGAGCGCACCCGAGAATGTAAAACGAATCTTATTTTGTAAGATCATTATTTATCCGACTTATTAATGCACCATAACTGTCACTTTCAACTTAAACTCGCCTCGGCACCACCAAAAAAGGACAAAAAAATCGTTATTTTAAGAAATTACCAACAACTTAATTAAGTATAAGTAAGTATAACCTCGAAAACTTTAAATTAAGTTGGTATATTTTTTAGAGTATTTTAAGCATTTTAGAATAGTTGCTAGTTTGAAAACGCAACGAATTACCATCGATTAATCTTGTCTACTTAAGTTAAGTGCGTGCTTTGTGCAGCCGTGAGCCAGCAGCGCAGATTAAGTTGCACGCGCGCGCGCATACGCGCTAAGGACGAGTCCGAGATGCTTGGACAAATTCAGTATCGAGTCGGAATATTCATTCCGGCGCATAGCGATGAAGTGCCACTGGTGCCACCGTTTATCGTTCGCCTGCGCCCACGCTGTCATTACACGAATAATGGACGATCCATAAAATCGCCAATCGTCTTGTGATTACGGGAATCGTTTACCACTTTGAGAGTTTCCTTGGCGTTAGAAAAAATATTGAAGTGTAAATTTGAATATGTATAGAATATATTATACAGAGTGTACGGTAAAATTAATGTTTTAGGTTATAGTTATTAAAATTTTCACGTTTCACGTCGTGTCGCATCGTACACGATCGAAAACAAGCGAAACATGCAAATTGACAGCATGTTGACAGACAATGGACAATGATTCACAATAAGATGACGCCATCTTGTTCAAAACACAAATATTTTGTAGCATTCGGTGTATTTAGTTATATATTTCACGATTTTCAACGATTTTCAACTTTTAGGACATTTATAGAAAGTATTTTAAATTTTGGTATGTAAAGTACACATTTATTCTATTAACGATTATTAAATTCAGTGAATAAATGTCGTATTATGCATTGACATCACCCACACGTTCCGGTGAATCCACATCACCACGATATCACATTATATCAAGTTTTATATGTATTCCTAAATCGAATGTGAGTTTATTTACACAAAATTAGCATATTTATAAGCTTTTTTCTCTTATAATGTCTCAAAAAAGATGTTCATGCTTCCATCACATATTTAATACAAATTCCAATCAAACAGTTTTACATTTTTATTAAGTTTCAAATAAAAATTAAATATTTTTAACAAATTTTGAATAATTACAATTTTAAGACACTTGGTTTATTACTTACTTAAAATTAATTATTGGAGAATGTCTGATATTTTAATTTGCTGATATTTAAAAAAGCGAAGCAAAAAATAAGCAATTTTTAGCATTCATTTAACATTTCTGCTTCAACTGGCTTCATTTCATGCTGCATTTCGATAAAACCGAGCTCAGGCTGGTTGAAGAACTTCATATATATCCACTTTATGGCCGGTAGAGATTGGAGACAAAAACCGTCGCGAAGCATCTCGAGAATATCAACAAACTTATAAATACGTTAATACGCTAATGAAACGCAGGCTGGAAAAGGTAATTAACGTTATCGCAACGAGTCGGCGAAGCGGCGCAACGGCGGTCGAAGGATTCTGGAGATTCTGGTTCTTCTTCAGCGAAAGAACAGACAAGAATTCTATTCATCTCGACTTTACAAAAAATAAAAAATAAAAAATAAAATCAACTGAACTGAATTTACTGAATTCCTGATGCAGTCGATGAAATTATTTGCTTTACTTAATGCATCAACATCGGCGGGCATCATATTCAGATTTATTATTTATTAAATAAACGCCGTGTAATGGGCCTTCTGTTGAAAGCACGCTTGTTAATATTTACGACCTCTCGCGCACTATTACTTGCCGCAAAAAGTAGCGGCGCGCAATTTCCATTCCCATTTATATGCTGACATCTCGTTATCTATCTTCACGAGCTGAATGTTTAGAAATTGCTTAGAATACGTGTGGCGTTGAAAAAAACAATGAAAAAAGCATAAATTATTGTTTTTACAACTCGTACAGCAAAATAACCTTAAAAATAACTTCCAGATGTTTAATCCAGATGGCGTTGATGTTTTGCATGCACTCACAAGAGATGTATGTGAAGCTGACAGGAAAAGACAGGTAGGCAACGAAGCGGTTTGTTAATATCGCCAAACATGGTTAAAACCTTGCGCCCGCGTCGAGAGAAGAGGAAGATGAGTACGTGCAGTGAATAAGCAATGACTAAATCTAAGCGAAAAGATCAAACGCCAGCAAAACACAAGCCATGACAACCCATGGGAAAGTTTCAAACGCATAAACAACCTAACCTCAAAATTAAAGAAGAAAAACAGCTACTGTATTCACTTATATGTAGAAATGTAGAAAAGTAGTAAGTAATTTATGATTATTGGCTGGTGTAGTAACAAGTGCCCATTTGAGTAAGACAGATTCGAGTGATGTTGTTATCAGCGCCGCATGATCATCATTTGCGCAAACAAAACGAGTGGAAGTCCCACGCGCGACGTTTTCGTGCGCCGAGTAATTGTTTCGCTTTGTTCGCGCGCCGCGTGCAGCACGTACACGCAGTACGTCAACACCTACAACTTTTTGCGTTCGATCCGCGGATAATTGCGTCCCGAACCTGCCCAGCCCGCCCGATTGCGAGAAGACGACAATCCTTTATTATTGCGAGCCATGGGAACGAAATTCAGCGCACAAAAGAATAAATTCTGGGGCCCGGTGATCGTGTCGTGCGATCGACGCGAAGGAGAGGCGTCACGTTTTTAATTAATTTTATTGCGTTATTAATTTTTATTGCGCGACGTATTTCCAATCGATGAATGCAGCCAATATAAAAACAAATTAAGTTTTTTTTTAATCTCAAAGAGCAACAAATATTTCTCTGAATTTTTTTCTTTTTCTCTTTTTGATTGATTAAAATACAACCTGAGGCGGTCATCATTTGTTTCTTAAATACATCTATAAGAAAAAATATTCCGTGGTTGGGAATGCATCGTCCAACGAATATTTATCGGTTTTATAATAACTTATAAGTGGTTCATTAAAGTTTTATTTTATTTTTCGTCTCTTCTCGCTATCCGCTAGCTTAAACGTAAAAGTCGAATCGAAATTATAATTTGAATCGTCAAATATAAACCGGATAATGTCAATTAACGCATAGTTTATGATTTTATCCTCTCAACAGATTTTATTGTATCTTTTATTAGTTGAAAAAACTTACCAACAACAACAACGTGTCCAAAAGATTCCGGATTTCCAATTGCTGTGCAATTCCATCGTTGATGCCGGAATTGATATCGACATTCTTGGCGAGCTAATCGGACTCCATCCCCGATGGCAACCATCGCATCCGGATCTGTACGACACATTTCGCGCTGTTTCGCCGTCAGTCCCGACACTCGCGCGCAAATTACTTCGGCGTTCAGCGACAGAATGCAACAAACGTACCTGAAATAAGGAAAAAGGAAGCTAGAGATTTTGCTATTCATAAATCAACATTGAGCACGCACTTAATCTTGTAGGAAATTGGCTTGGAAGTTATGTTTATTATGTAAGTAGTGGTGGACAGGCTGGGAAAGTTAATTGAGCTGTCAACGCATGTTTGCTTTCCAGGAGTGTTGTTCAGTTTTGTTAAGTAGGTAGTGGACATTGTAGACATGCTTTTTAACAAACCACAATGAATGTTATACATAAATATTGTGCATGGAGGTATATATCATATGTTTAACTAGTTTATAAACAAAGAAAATTTATTTTTGTGTTAGTTTTGTTGTTTTTATGAGTAAAAGCTGCAAAATCAACAAAAAACTTTAAAAATTATGTATTTACTAGTTGAGCAGACAAATTTTTACAGAAATTCAGTTAATAATGTCTTAAATTAATTATTAATTAAATTTAACTGAATTTTCTTGTTTTCCTTCCGAATTTTTTGAAAAATTCAAAGAAATGCTATTAAAATATTATTTAAAATTGTTTGTGTTAAAAGTATGCTTAAACAAAAGAAATTTATTATAAAATTATCTCAATTGGATCAATTTTCGGCCAAATTTTGATAATTTATCTCAAAAAACTCCAAAAAACATAAAAACAAAATTTATTAAGCCTTTTCTCAATTTTGACTTAAAAGAAAAACATTTTATTGCAAATATTGTAATAAAATCTAATATTCTGTACATATAAAACGATTCCTATTATTCTACATAAGTTTTTCCAACAATATAATTTATTAGAATGATTTATAATTCATCACAATCAATGAAACGCACTTCATTTCAACTTGACTTCACGTCATTGCAAATAAATAGACAATTACCGAGTATTTATTGCCGATTTTTACGAGAGCCCGGCACACCGCGCCGCGCGAAGGTGTGCAATTAATGAAGTAATAAATAGTTGTTAAACGCGAAGAAATTAAATCGTTACATTCGCCGCTATGCGCGCGCGCGCGCGCGGGCTATGCAAATGGCCGCTCTCGTGTGCAGCATGCGCTCGCCGGCGATAAATTATGCGCGCTGCAAAGTATGGGATTATGTTATTTATCGCCGATAGTCCCATTCGCAGCGGCGATTATATTGCGCGCATGATTTATGAACGCTCGCTGATTTAATAGATTAATTTCTAATTGTCTGTCGGATATCTACCGTACACGACTCGCGCAAACTTCCCACAAAAACCCAGCATGTTGAAATTATTCACTTGGCGAATAACTAGTTGAAATAAGGTTATGCTATAAACGCAAATGGAAATCCTGTAAACAGTACAGTGCAATAGTGATAGTTTAATTGCAATTAAAGTTATATTGTTGGCCTGTCGTCGAGTGCTGTTTTATTCATTACATCTATCGATGATTTGTGACTTGTGTGCGACTTACGCAAGATACAAGAATTTACCGTATGCTTTGAGGTACGGTACAAGAACCGAACATAGCATTTTTTCAATTTTAGTTAAAAATAATTACTTACTCATGTTTTCAAGTCTTTTAATGACACATAGAGGATGTTTCCCATATGACAAACCGGAAATACCATCTTACACAAACAGATAATCTTCTTGAGACGTTTTTTTGTGTTTATACAACCAACTAGACATTTTCAAAGATTTTAAGTAGCTCAGGTAAGTAAATACCTATTATATTTTTTGTGTGACACAAAATGAACAACAAATAATATATAATAGAAAACCTATTCTCAGCAAAATACAAAAGTTGTAAGAAAAGTGTACATATTAAGGGTACTCAGTAGGTAAGATGAAAATATTTGTACACAAAAAGTGTTATCAATCGTAACGACCCTTGAATCCGAGCAAAGGTAAGTGCAAAACGTGATCGTCGCTGCGCCCGCCTTGTTCACACCCCAACAAGAAACATAAATTACCCTCGGAAAAAGGTTCACAACCACTGCGCCACTATCGAATAGTATCATCGGCATCCAACTAATCGCTGCTATTGTTTTCCTCGTCGTGATTTAAGTGCTTTATGTTCAGATTTTCGGAAACACATCGATAAATTCTCATTTCTCAAAGTGTTAAACGTCCCCTTCAGCGAATCCAAAAAAAACTATATCTTCAAATTTAATCTAAATCTGTGCTTTGTTTTCTTTTGTTTTAACCCAAAGATTGGGACCCAATTTAATTAATTTTCCGGTGAATGCGAGAGGAAATTAAATTTTTTTCTTGTGAAAGTTGACTAATCGATTTGGTTTTTAGTTTTTTTTTTCAAGTTATGTTTACTTTGTTGTTCGTTTCGAGCGAAGTAATTAAAATCATCGATGGTTGGAAATGTGTGAATGAAATACGAAGTACCAAAGCGTATCGCGTGCAAGGCGCTCGTGCTTTTCGCCACCTGTTGCTAACGCCGACAGCTCAATTTTCTTCATTATTATTAATACTCGTGCGAGCATCCTCGCGACCATTCACCACCGCTGCTCGTATCTCAGCCACGCTGCAGTGCTCAGATTTACTGGCATTAAAACGGTCTGAGTAAACAACGTTGTTGGAACTAATGAGTAATGTCGAATATGTCAAAGGAAACAACTAACTTTTATACCAAGTGTTTTAAAAGTACCAATTTTTAATAAATTTACTTATTTTAAAAATATTATTGAGTATTAAACAAATTTTATTGTGTTTTTTATTAAATTTAAATTAAACTCATTAATTTTCTTTTCAAATTTATTTTATCTTTAACTTTTTGATGTTTTTATTGTGTTAGGCAACTTTTATTACTTATTTTACGCATTTGTACACTTTTTGTGATTTTCTAAATATGCAACCCAATTAACACTGCACCTAACGCTCCCTTACGCTTAAAAATAAAAATAAAAGAACACAGCTTCCCAATTTAATTATTTCTCGCTACAAATTAAAATGCAAACCTTTCGAGCCACACACAGCGTAATTTTACGAGAACAGCCCCCAGGGCAGCAGGGATGTTGCGTTCGACGCATGTCCATGGATTTGTTCATAAATCATCGACCAGTTTCGAACCCGTCACGTCAATTGGAGCACCACTACACGATTTGTGGTTGCGGTGTGGTCTCGCGCATCGCGTTCGCATCCCTTACTAATTATGATGTCGAGACGAAAATCATTAAACATAATTATTTCTCAAACTTTGTAACGCACAAATTTTCCAAATTACTAATTTTTTTCGTTATGAGATAGAATAATGTATACCGTAACGTTAGCATTGTGCAAACACAACAACGCAAACGACATAAACTGAAAAAGCAAACATCCTTTGTTTCCTGCGCAATGTTTGCGTAGAATCAATGTGCAAACATTCAAATCTTAAAACACGGCTTTAAAATGCATGATAATATTTGGGTAAATATAAATGACGTGCAATTAACACTAAGTTAACTAATGAATTTCAACTGGTGTGTGTAAATAATACTTTGAGGTTATATTTTTACTCAGTCGTGCATAAAATGTTACTTTATGCACGTATACAAAATATGTAGGTATGTAATTTAATATGAAAGTAATAATAAACTTTCTTTTGAGTAATTATTTGATAATATTATGTTATGTTTTAAGTTAATGTTGCAGTTTTCATAGAATCAAAATTCTAACGTTTCTACATCTGCGACAAAGACGAGTGAAAGTTAGACGTGCGCTCAGCAACATAAATAATGTGTGTCTGCCTACAGCACGCCGAAATATTTTCCCAACGACGAGAAAATTATTAGCAGATCGCTAGAGATTGCGATTGCGATAGCGTAATTCATTGTGCGCTTGCGCATACTGCTAAGGTGTAATTCGTACGTACTTAAGTAAGTAGTTAAGTGTACTTAAGGGGATATTTTATTTCAATAAAAAATTAAATTTTAATTCTTATAGAAAATTTATGGTAAAATAATTTAATTAACCAAATTTACTTTTTAAAACAATTAAAATTTAATAAATTAACAATTTATTGCCATAAAAATAAATTAAATGTTTATTTTTATTAAATAATTTTGTTTTATGATATAAATATCATTTCTAGCATTGAAACTTTAAAAAAAATCAATTTTTAATTTTTTTTCAAAACTTCCTAGTAATATAACCCCTTAACTAATCAAAATTTTATCCCAACTAATGCAAAACCAGAAGATACCTACCTATACTCATAAATATATTCATTTTATTCGTCTCGTGTCTGCAATTTTCAACTCTTTATCCAATTAATTAAAAGCACAAAAATAATAAATTTTTGCTTTGTGCGCTTCTATGTTGCAATATTTTGAAATAAATCGTCTTGTAAACCATCGGCGCATCACGTACGCGGACAGACCGACTGAAGCAACAAACGAAGCGCTGCAGCGCTTAATAGTTTCTTAATCGTTAATGTAGATTAAAGAGTGGATGGCAAAATGAGCGCCATTCAGCCGTGGACGTCGATCTCCGATTTTTCAACGATATCACTTCACCGAAGCAATGAAAGCCGCTAAATAAGCATTAGCTTTGAACTTCGGTCTTTCCAGCTCAACAGACTATCGTCTTCAACTCATCACCTTACACTCGGCATTCAAATTAAAATCAATCAAAAGTAAAATTTAAAAAAATTCAAAGGAAAATAATGAAATAAAATTAATTTAAAAAAATCAATAAACATTTTTAAATAATATTTTTATTAAAAAAAAGATTTTTTTTCTTAATTTTTGAGAAAAATAGGAAAAACGTGATTCAACTTTTTGTGAGAGTAATTTTCTTAAAATTCATTACTAACTTCTACGGAATTGCGTATAGAAAAGGCATTATCTCGTAAGCGTTGCAAAGTCATGTCGGACATGTCCGACGTATTCTAATAAAACGCGGCGCAACGACGCTATTCGTAATATTGTAATAAACGTAGAATGGTGGCCATCGCATTGAGCAAAATACGACTATATAAGCTCGCGTAATGATAGCAGGATTGCGCGCTGCAGGCCACAACAACGCGTGTTCGAACAACTCACGACATGCCTACCTGCAAATATTACAACCTTACAATCCACTACTAACTACCTCACATTACATTCTTCGCTGCGGCTATTACTTAAACATGACGCGGTAGAATTTATTGTTTAAAGAAAAATGTTTTTATCTCTTTACCTAAATTGGGCAAACGCTAAAAACGTGACTAGAATTGGCGAAAACTGGAAGAATCCTCGTCTGTTGCCGTTTGGGGTGACACGCATGCTGGACACTTGGACGAACGCTCATCCTCGACTGATAATCACTTTAATCCTGACATCCTTGACGCTTTTTTCACTAATTTACACTTGAAACTTATTTTATTTCCGTTTTAAACTTCCAAAAATTTATTTTACATTTTTATGATGTAAAAAAAACACTTTTTATAAAATAAAACATTATCACATTTTATTTACACTAGAATTAATAAATATTTCACTTAAAAGTTTAGAATAAGTTTCGTTCGCGATGCCCAACTTTGAAATACGTATTTCTTGATCTGCGCCGAGTGTCTCTCGCAAGCAGCCAGCGTCGAGCGCGCTTCTCTTGGATCTCTCACCTTCCCGCCACGCGCACACTACCTGTGGCTTCGACCAATCATCGCCTCCCCATCGCGGATCCCCACTAATGTAATTGTTTCGCGCATCGCCGCACGATAATCGCCGCAATTTGTTGCGATTCGAATCCGCATATTTACCATGACTACCTAAGTCACACCGTAAACTATACTATCAAACTGTGTGCAGCAAAACTAACGACTGGTAACACAACAGTAACATGATGCACATAAATTTATGCGAGGCGAAATGTTGACGCACCGTTAATTTATTGTGCATTTGAGTGCGCGCTCGGGGAATATAGTCGTAATCGAATTTCAATTCCGAACTGAGCGCGGGGAATTAAATGGAACTAATGACGAATTGTTTTTCGATTAATTGCTTATTCAAATGCTGATTCGCGTAAAATACTACCTACTTTTATTACTTAGTGTACACTTGGTTAGATTAACATGTTTAAAATAGTGAAATTTGTACTTATTTATTCAAAATTTAATTAAATTCAGTGTTTTTTCAGTTTTGCATCTAATAACTGATTGATTTTGACCGTTTTTGCTTCTTGTACCTTAAATTTATGCAATGTAGGCAACCAAACACACATAAAATGTCAAAATAGGGTTAATGTGTCAAAATACTGTGAATATTTTTATTTTAAACGCAATTCTTGCTGGTTACACCTTTTTAGGCTTTATTCTTGTTTCTAAACCAAATTATTGTCTTTTAAGAACAGAATTTTCGCGTTTTTGTTAAAAATTTTTACTTCTTTGAAAAAGTGTTCAATTAAATTAAAAACACAAATTTATGCCAATTATTATCCTGTTTTTATTATAATTATTAAACTTTTAATTAATCCTGGAAACCTTTAAATCCCACTTTATATAAACCAAGTAAATGTTTCACTTGAAATTGAAATTGTTCGAAACTGCCCACCAAATCACAAATGCCAACGCTAATAAAACATTCACGAATTAAAATGCATTCGAAATGGGCGGAATATTAACGACGACATTAAGCGCTCGTGTCATATTCAAATTACGGCTGTGCACATCCAAGGATAGCATGGATAGCATCATTACCATCATAACATCGACCAATCGCGCAGCACTCGTCACCTCACACAGGCGGCTCATGGGCGATTGTTTATTTTCCAATCAGCAAGCGTCGCGCAAGAAGCAATCTTTCACTACGATTATTATAAACATTACGATTATGCAAATACCAGCTCGTTAGACTTAAAAGTCTCAATTAATGCGAAATGATATGATTTAATGCGAATTAAAATGAACTAATGCGCGCCCGGATTAATTTTTCATTAGCATGTTGATAGATTATGGAGATAATCGATGATTAGTAGAAGTTATAGTCATTATTCACTTTGGTTACCTTCTAAACAACCTGTTCACTGATTGCGGTAATCAATTTGCTCCCAGACGGCGATAACTCAGGCGCAATTGATTATTATTACAGCAATGCATAATTAATGTTATAATTATGCATCTGAATGATAAATTTAACCTTTAGAATCAAGATATGTAATATTATTCAATGTATTCTAACCTATAAATGTAATAATTCGCCATAATGGAAATTATTCTTTATTTAACCTATAAAATAAGTTTTTAAAAGAATAAAATCACTGTTATTTTGTTTGGTATGCGTGATAAGTTCGTTAACAATGGCCGATTGACGATTCGTCGCATTATTTTAATTTAATTGCCTGAATCGAAAAAGTGCAACTAGTCTGAAACGACCAAACGGAACTACAGCCCGGAGGACACGCTAATGATACTTTTATACATAAAACTCACAATAGATCTGCACTCAACGCCCTATTAACAATAGTACCTCATAAATATCCCCACATTCGATGTAGGCAACAAAGTATTAGCCATGAATTTGTCAGGAAATTATTTTAATCAATATTTTACTACAATTTAACATAAAAATTTTAAAAAAATTGGAATTTTTATAAACTTTTGCTTTAATGCTATGTGAATTTCTTACACATTTTGTTTACATATAAATACAAAATGTTAAAAACAATAAATAAGCAATAAAATCATATTTCACTTACAATTAAAATAAAATCTCTAATTAATGTCCCGCTAGGATCGTAAATAATCACATCGGACGCGCAATTAAAAACAATTTGCACAGATAATCTCAACGCAACTGCATCTCCAACAGCTCAGAGTTTAACAACAAACAAGTGCATTTCGCTGTATTATTTCATTAAATCGTTTGATTTCGTTTAATAATCCGTTGGCAAATGCACGCCGCACATAAATAACGCGTTTTATTAGTGGCAATCGCAAGTTTTACGAGCCTGCAATTATGATTTCATATTCGTACACATATTATTATTATTATTAACACTGCGTGCACTATGAGTAGTTGTGACATAATAGTTACGGGTATCTGCTGCGCATGTGTGCACGACACAAGATTACGTACATTGTAAACGAATTAAGCAAACAAATTCGTAGGTAAATTAAAAATATGGAATATGAAACCATGCGGTGTACGAATATTCACACGCGTTCAAATGTTAAAGTTATAAATTAGATATCTTTCAGTACTTACCAATATAATTTTATAGTCATCGGTCGTCTATGAGGTGGTATATTCTCTATTTTATGTTTTATTACTTATAACTGAATTAGTTTCCACTATAAAATATCAAATATGCTGGTATATCAATAAAGTTTTCAGTGTATGTCCGCGGCTTTCATTCCCGACGTAATGAAGTTCTCACCCTTTGGGCCATACGGTTTTATTCGCGCGTTTACATTCTTTTGTACAGAGAAAAAAGCGAAGTACTGAAATGCATGGGACACAGATTAAACAAAAACGAAAAACAGGAATAAGTACTTCATAATACTTTCGTTCCTCACCGCATGGTCCTCGCCGCTGCGCAGATAAAGAGATAATCAGCGAGTGAGAAAGGAGGCAAACCAAACAACCGGTTGCTTATCACCGTTCATTACGGCGCGGCCGTAAATTGAATATAAACCTGAATTACGCAGTAATGTCGCTTGGAAATGCATGTAATCAAGTGTTATACAAGTTAATTGAAAGTTTTATGTAATAAAACATTAAATTCGGAGTAAATAAAACTCACAATAAATAATATAAATTAATATTAAGAGAAATATATTTTAAACATTTTTAGATAACAATTTTAACAATTGTTATAGGCAACCCAAAATACACCGCAGCAATATAAACCATTTCCACAGATTTATATGATCCGCATCCCGGCGTTGTCTAAACACGTCGCGCCTTCCCAAACGTCAAAATGAACCAAACAAACTGAATATTGCATATAACACTGTTGTTTATCACCGGCAGGGACGTGTCCAACAAAGATAAGAGCCATAACACACTTTACACAACGCTGAATAAGCTCTATCCCGCACTTTAGCACAAAAACGTACAATATGGTGCTTTTAAAAGCTGTGATTTTAATTGGTGGCTCACAAAAAGGTATATTCTTCAAAAAACTTCAAAATGTTTATTTATATAATTATATCTTGGAATGTTGTAGGGACACGATTTAGGCCTTTGTCTTTAGACATACCTAAACCATTATTTCCTGTTGCTGGATTGCCAGTAATTCAGCATCACATTGAAGCATGCACATCAGTTGAAGGTTTACAAGAAATATTGTTGATTGGCTATTATCCCATCACACAAATTCAAGGTTTTATTAATGACATGCAAAATCAGTACCATGTTAATATTAGGTAAATTATTTCGTAGTTAAAATATGATATTTAATATTGTATTTAATATTTTACTGAATATTTTGTTATTTTTAAAGATATCTCCAAGAATTTACTGCACTTGGAACTGCAGGTGGAATTTACCACTTCAGGGACCAAATTCGTCTTGGTAATCCCTCTGCATTTTTCGTTATGAATGGTGATGTATGTGCAGATTTTCCGTTGGTTGATCTGTACAAGTTCCACAAACATAGCGGCCCTGCATGCATCGCAACAATTTTAACCACGGAGGCAACTCGCCAACAGTCTCTCAATTATGGTTGTATGGTCACAGATAAATCTACCTCTGAAGTTAGACATTACGTCGAAAAACCCAGCTCATACGTCTCCGCGTTGATCAACTGCGGAACTTATTGCTTTTCAGTGGATATCTTCCAAATTATTGGCGAGATATTCCACATGAAGCAAGACGATTACTTGAAAGGTAATGGTAATGGAAACGGCAATGGTAACGGAGCTAAAGAGGCTGGTTACATTCAACTTGAACAAGAAGTTTTGGCTCCCTTGGCGGCAACTGGAAAATTATTTGCTTTCCAAACTACAAATTGGTGGTCGCAGTTGAAGACTGCGGGCGCGGCGATTTACGCAAATAAACATTATCTTGAGTTGTACAGGGCTAAGAAGCCGGAGAGATTGTCGCAGAGTATTCTATCAGCAGCTGGGGATAATCAAAGCGCGAAATGTCGAATTATTAACGATGTTTATGTTCATCCAAGTGCAACTATTCATCCTACAGCTGTTGTAAGTTTTTTTTATTGCGTTAATCACTTAGAAATTGTAATAAATTGTCTTTAGTTGGGACCAAATGTCAGCATCGGACCGGAAGTCACAATTGGGCCGGGTGTGCGCATCCGGGAAAGCATTGTTTTAGCTAAGGCGACCATCGAGGACCACAGTTTGATTTTACATAGTATAATCGGACAGAATTCTCATGTTGGACGATGGGCAAGGATAGAGGGAACTCCGTCTGATCCTGATCCGAATAAACCGTTTGCGAAAATGGAAAATCCGCCGCTTTTCAATGAAAATGGGCGTTTAAATCCGTCAATTACTATTTTAGGTAACTAAAAACTCAAGTTTAAAGTGAAGTAAAGTAAATAAAACCAATATTGTTTATATTTTACAGGTTGTTCAGTGTCTGTGCCATCCGAAATGGTTTTGCTGAACACCATTGTACTGCCAAACAAAGAACTAAGTCGCAGCTTCAAAAACGAAATTATTCTATGAATTTTATAATCAATACAATTTATAATCAAATATTTAAATAATGTTTTATTTTTTCTTTTTAAATATATATTTTGTTATTCGATTCGTTTCATTTTATTTTCATTACAAAAGTTTTAAATGCGCAGTTGTCAAAAATGACGTTAACCTAAGGTTATTCTTGTATTGCCAATGTCACGACTGTCATTTTCTGTCAAAACAGTACAGTTACGAACACATGGTTATTGTGTTTTTATTAGAAAGCTAGATCTACACAGCCCTAAACGTGCTTAATAGTAAATATTAAACATGGTAAGTTATAAATATTACCTTAAACAATTGTTGCACATGATGTTATCATCTTTAAAACATTTTATAAGCAAATAAATAAATTTATAGGTTATGACATTGCAATACATTCCATATTTAAATTAATTTTCCAGCCTAAAAAGAAGTTCATCGACAAAAAGAACGCAGTCACCTTCCACCTTGTCCACAGAAGTCAACAAGACCCCTTACAGCAGACGAAACAGCCCCACAAAGAGTCTTACTACCAGTCAGCAATACAACCCAACAGAAAACCAAACAAGCCAAAGAAGAGGAACATAAATTTGGCATATTCTTTGATGATGATTACAACTACTTACAACATTTAAAAGAAAGCAATCATGTTGTGGAATGGGTACCTACAGAACCCAGCAACAAAGATGGCAAGAAAAAGGAAAAAGATAAACTAACATTGCCAAGTTCAGTATTTGCATCAACAGTTGAAGAAGATGTAGGTTTACTGAACAAGGCAGCACCTTCTGGTCTTAGATTAGACTTAGATCCTGATATTATAGCTGCTATGGATGAAGATTTCAATTATGATGACCCTGACAATGAACTAGAAGATGATTTTATGAATTTAGCTAATGCTGAATGTTCTGATGAAGAAGATGACTACTATGATGATGATGAAGAGGATGGTAGAAGTGATGTCAGTTCAAATTTTGAAGATGAAGCAATGGATGAAGTTGGTTCTCTTGATGGGGGCCAATTTACATTCAAGGATGAAGAAACAAAATCACGATTCACAGATTATTCAATGTCTAGTTCAGATATTAAACGAAATGATCAATTAACGCTTCTGGATGAAAGGTTCGAGCAGATGTTTGCAAAATATGATGATACCGAGATCGGTCCACTTGATTGCGACGAAATTGCCGGCTACGTGCCGGAAAATTCCGATTTGTTATTGCAATACGCAGCGGAATTTGAACGCGATCAACAACGCTCGAAACTTGATAAAGAAGTCATCAAAAATTGCGTTATCAACCAAGAGCAGGATTCGGATGATTCCAATGACGAGTTTGACAAGGTTGAAGTTAAACCAAAAGAGAAATGGGATTGTGAAAGTATCCTATCGACATATTCCAATTTGTATAACCATCCGAAAGTTATATCTGAACCAAAGTCTAATAAAATCAAATTAAACAGCCGTGGAATTCCAGTCATCGAGTCAAATCGTCTGACGGCGCGAGCATTGAAGAATTTAGATGATTCAACGTCAGGGAGAAATGCAGGAGCGAAGTCGGTTGGAGCGCAGAGCGTTTTATCAACTTTGTCGACGCTGTCAATTAGACCAAAGGGAGAAACTCCCGAAGAAAGAAATATCAGAAAGAAAGAACTCAAAGATTACAGAAAAGAGAGAAGAATTGAAAAGAAAGCCAATGCGGAGGCATTCAAGGAAGAAGCCAAGAGACAAGTTAAGATAAACATTAACAACAGAATGAATATTCAAGGCAATCGTATCTTATAACGAGTCATAATTAATTTTATGTTAAATAAAATATCCGAGCGGAATAATCCGCTTAATTTGCAAATAATTTCGTGACCTAAAATTATTACTATGAATGATTGCGTGCGTCACGAGATACGAATACAAACTATAAACTATGCAAAATATCGATAAACTTTTCCTAGCAACACATTTTTTAACGACCTTGATAACTTGCAAACATTTTTTCTTGTTGATTTTGGTTTAAATATAACAAATTTTGTTTTGTATGTTTGGTTGCCTAGCTTACGTCTGCAAAATATCATTTAACCCCACTTTCGATTTCAAATCAACATTTTTGTTTTGAAACAAAGACATCGCGTTATATTCAATCTGTTCTTTATAAACATTGATATAGATTTAATTATTACCTTCTCGATTATGCTTCTCAAAGTTGTCGTCACGTTGTCTGCGCGTAATTCAGCTGATAACACTAGAATCATGACCGATAAGCTGTCGACCAGCTGTTTGGCAATGTCGATTATTTCTTTCTAACCTACGTTTATTTACAGACACTACAAATCAGACAGAGATAGACATAGTGTACGGATGTGAACGTATGTCTGAGCGGTTTACGCTACGCGAACAAAAACTCACGTCGAGCGCCGTTCGATTCATACGCAACGCAACTATCGTGCGCGCAGTATAGTCAAAACACAACGCTCGACCAAAAACGTGCTCGTCGAACTATATCCTCGCCTCTGTTTTGAGATAACAGCTTGTGACAATTCGCGGGTGGGTAGTAAAATGTACACATCGTTTAGGCTCCTCGTTGTCGACGAGCCTTCATTAGCGCACAGCGTGAGAACGGAAGCGGACGGTCGCACGCGACGAATGAACGATACGCCGCGCGGCAGGAGCAGCAGGACAAGCAGGACGAACGTCGGAAGCATTTACGCCGACGACGGCTTCCACAGTGTGTTTAACATAGAAGAGGAATAGAAACAATATCACAACACAACTGTAACAAATTTTTATTAAAACAGTTGAAGGTTGTTCAAAGTTTTTCACGAAACAAAATTCAAAGTTAAACAAGTTTAAACAAGCGAAACAAAACACCCGAAAAAAAACACACACAAAGTTGAAAGTTTAACTGCAGAAAAGTTGGTGCGGACGCATATTTTATTCAAAGATTGTGAGTACGGAACTTTTGCGGTGTGAAATCGGTGGGATAACAACGCGACAATCATGATGGAACAAGGCAGCAACAAGAACAAGATGTATTGTCTTATAACTCAGGCGAATTCCGTCGTCGTCGAAGTGGCGGTTGATTCCAAGGCCATCGGGCAGGAATGTCTCGAAAGGGTAAGTTTTTCAAATATTAATCAAACGCCATTTTGCGCATAAAAAGAAAATTGAATATAAAAATATATAAAATAAAAATCACCCGAAGCTAAAAAAAATAATAGCACATAAATAGCATTCGTTCAAACTGTTCAAAAGATAAATGTAAGTAAATAACGCCAGGACGAAAGTAAAAGGAAGCGCGTAACACGCGTAAAAAGTCCTTTACCACGGCCTTCCTTCCGCGTGCGCGATAAAACTAAATATATAGGCCGTGCCTGCGTGCAACATGATACATAATAAAATGTTTATGATGGCATACATAGCCGCCGCCGCCTAACGGCTTTCCCGCTTTGGCTTTTCCAAGCTGGAGGCGAAGGAACAAGCCGCGCGCGCGGAAATTTAGTGATGGTAAAATGCTGTGAAAAAAATAAATGTATAAAATTACCACCACACGGCACGCACAGCGTAATGTTTACATTCCACTCCTCGCCAAGGAAAAAGAAGGACTTTGTGAAAAGAAAAACCGTATAACTGAGAGTTAAGAGAGCGTGTTTCCAAGGTACGTTTCACAAGGAAAACTCACTTTATATGAGTAATGAGCAATCATTACAAAAGTTTCGCGTTGCCTCAAACGTAATCATTTCGTAAACATATTTTCTATTGATATATATTCATAACGTTTCTTTAATTTAAATGCAGCTTTTCGATTGGATGCATTCGTAATCAAATTCAAAGAAATTTTCATTTTCATAAAAATTGAAACCGTTCGAATGTAAAATTGAATAAATTATTGAATAATTCAATTTGCTGCTGCGTGCATGCACACTGAAAAGCTGAATAATTATTTTTCGTATTACTCATGCATAAATTACACAATTTGCGTTCTTTTTTCTCTTTTGAGTGTAAAATTAAATAAATTCACATTGTTGACGTGATAAACAGTGCAGTGTTTGATCGACGGTGTTTACATCGCTGTGTGCCGTCAAAATAAGATAACAGGAGCACAAAGAATCGCTCATAGAAATAGCATAAAGCCAGATTGTTCACCTGGCATAATAATAACATTGTAAGCACTTACTTACATTGATAACAGCGGTAATCATCATCTAAATATGACGGCTTGACAACCGCTCCAGTCAAGTGCACACACTAAACGCTCAGCAAATAAACTTTGAGCAAAATAGATAATTAGCACCGAAATAGATATCTCGACATAATATGTACATAATCAGTGTGGGTAAATACATAAAAAAAGAAGAATGCGTCATGTATTGTGCTCATATCAACGTGATAATTGTTTCTAAACATATTGTTTACAATTTAAAAAAATCTACCGGTAAATATCGATAAAATTTATTTAAAAAATTAAAAAAAAAAACTTTTTTGCTTTTTTAATATTTTCTATGCTTAGTTAAAGAACTAGCAATAAATTTCCATCTTGATGCATGATTATAAAGTTTCTAATAAAGTTTCTAATCATGATAATTAACAATAATTGGAAAATTACAACGCGCGCTCGGGTTTCCAACCCACTTGCGCGCAATTTTTACGCAGATTTGCATTTATGTATTAATTACACGCGGTATTGATTGTCGATACATGATGGAAGCCAATTAAATAAAACTTGCGACTTGGGACTTCAGGTAGTGTGTGGAGTTGAGTTGAGTTGATCATTAGTTGGCTGGGAAATTACTGAGTTTCCAAACAGTTAGCAACAACCAACATTGCTAACTTAACTATTGCACTAGTGGATCAGTATAGCAACAAGTACAGACATCGGTTAAGCCACACCGCGCACACCTTGGCATCGGCGGTGGTCCACGACCCACGCGAATGTAATGTGCATGCGGATTCGATCGCAAATAGATTCGAACAACTAGTTTTACTCGCGCTGGGGAAGAGGATTAGGAGTGGAAATTTGTGAAAATTAAAGTGGGAAACGCTTCTGAGTTGAAGTGAAGTTATGGTTACGGTTATCGATGTTAAAACCGGGATTATTAATGTTATAATTTAAATAAATTTTCAAAAAATGTTTTTTATTGTTTATTAACCTCTAAATTTAGTTTTTCTTTTGTTTTAATGTTGAAATTCTGCATGTAGTTGGGTTTTAATTATAATTAATGTAGTTGTTTGCAAATACGACTAATCATCGTTAATTTCCACCGAAATTCTAGGATTACCTACATTTGCACGTTGATAGCACAAAGTTTTAACGATGCGTTTTTATTACCACCCTTAATTTCTACTAATTATTGCAATTAGCAACAAGTTGGTTCGAAAGTTTAATGTGTGAAAGGGTAGTATTGATTGCAACACTTGCTGGAGGCAAGTTGGTAGTTTTTGTTTTTATTTTTAGACGTGCGCGAGTGAATTTTTAAAGAGTTTTTAATTTTCAACGCAAGCGAATATCGAAAACCGGCTCGACCATGAAGCGATTGCGGAGCAAGGCACGTCGAGGCATCGGTTAATCAGATGCGAATATTAATAAGCTTTACAAAACTCGTCTATGCAACAAACACGAAAAAAGAACTGCTAACATCGCACGAGCTACTCTCGTCGAAACTTTAAAAATGGAAATTTCTACTAATTTGTTGTTTTTATGAGTTTTATAATAAAATTATTGTTATTTTACTTCATATCAGTCATAAACTATGATTTATCAATATTGTTTTTCTATTTGATTGTTGCGTTGTTGTTTTGGTGTTGTTTTTATTTACGAAATGAATAATAAACTGATGGAATAAAGGAATATATTAAATTCGGTTGACGTGCCGTGAATGCGCAACGGTGACGCGCAACCAGAGCTCGAATTTCCTTTCAATGCGTTCGAAAATGCATACAGCGCCCACACAATGACATCGTGCGCGCCCCGACATGCGAGTGTCACTTGCATCGAACCGCATTATTTCTCCGGGATGAGCAGAGTGCGGAAAGACGGGATTAAATGGCGGGTGAAGGCTGAAGATGTGACGCAGCCAACAGGATAAACTAATATATTACTCCAGGCGAGCGATGTGATAATAATAATAATAAATAAATAATTATGCGATGAGCAACGATGAACAAAAGGAGTAAATGAATATAAATTGACATGTTGTCGCCGGCATGAGTGGAAGATAATTATATATAAACGGTGTTTGAGGCACATTTTAGTTTTTGTTAAAAACACAGCCTTTGAGCCTTTTGCAAGTGTTGCGAAATTAGGTAAACGTTGTCGTCAACGAGGCGCTAAAGGTGCTTTGATGAATAATCGACAAGCGATTGGTTTTTAATTAATAATTAACTCTCCTCCCCCAACGCGAAGCGACGTGGAAGGTTGTAGAGGTTGTGCGATCCGGTACACGAGGACACGACCCTCGAAGGTCGCGCCCTAGCGCCCGAAAGCCTTTCATCATCCCCGAGCTTTCCGCTCGACAACACTCGATGCACACGTATATCACACACATCGAAATATATAGGAAGAACTAGCGAGAAAAAAAAAACGTTTTCATTCCATGGCGAAAATGAAGTTGCTAGCCGTCAGAATCATTCCAAACACAAATTATAAGAAAAATTCCCACGCGGACAAAAACCGCAAATACACAAAAAGCTTATAGAATCGGTGGCAACATGCGAGAATAGAAGTATGGACAGCGCAGTGCACAAAAAACGCGCTTTTCCGGATGTCCGAAAACACAAAACATGAAAAAGGATAAAAGCACCACGTTTGGGGAGGTTCCCGGCAAATGTAACTGACAGTTTTCTAATTGCTCGCCGCACATTGCAAACACCCTTTTAAGGCATTTGTTGAAAGCGGAGCGCGCATGCAAAATTGAAACGCAGTTTTTAACCCGAAAAAGCTCTAATCTTTGGAATCTGCGTGGAGTAACATTAAATCATGAAAAATTGAGTGGGACAAATGCGCAACCCGCTGACTGCGCCAGCACAACGTATGTTGTGTGATGGCGGGCGGGTGGTTTGTAGTGAGTGGGATGTAAAAGGACAGACGACAAACGTTAAACATTAAACGCGCTGGGCGCGCATGCAAAGCAGGCCGCCGAAATGTTGAAACACGGAAACACAAGGATTCGACTCGTCTTCGGCGCGCACATCGCGCAATTTTGCGAATTTCGAAACCGAAGAGCAAACATTAGCGACATGGGTTCTCGGCGGCAACGGCGGCGGCGGACTCGGTTCCGTTTCGTTTCGCTGCGCGTCCTTGGGTCCGTCGCCGTCGACGTTGTCGTCATCCTGCGTCCTGTGTATTTGCATGCGCTTTTCGTCGTTATTTGATTTTCTTTCGGCGTGTTTTCGCCCGGTTTTGCTGCGTAGGGGCGTTTTTTACGCCGAAAGCTACACGATTTCCATACGCGCGGAGGAGGAAAAATAAAAACGCCGCGTTTTACGGCGACGATTTTCGAAAAATCTAAATGCTCTCGAGAGATTGGAGCGGACGGGAGGGAATTTTTTTTAAAGGCACGAAGTAAAATCAACATTTGACGTGGAACATTTGTTTTGCTTGAAATTGAAATCTAAGGCGGAAAATTATTGAATCTTAGATAATAAAATTTATTTTATATTGGAATAACTTTTAAATTAACTAAAATGAAAAAAATCATTTTTTTTTTCTTTTTTGTCATAAATATCATACAAAAAGGTATGATCGATCAAAAAATGATGATACATCATCATAAATTGTTGTAAAAGCTGTGAAGTTTGTGTATTTTGCCGAAAAAATAAAAAATAACCCCCTTTAGTAGTTTAACTTTTTTGTTTGTGGTAAAATGCATATTAATGTTGTTTCTTGCGTGCCTAAAGTGAATTTGTTTCGTCGCTCGTCTTGAAGGCGAGACGAGCAGGAATAGAATTTATCGCGTGTTATATAAGTTAATCAAGGCGGACGTTTTTCCGCCCTCGACCTCGCTCACCCACGCGCATGTTCGCCATCCACCACCTGGTTTCCCGGGGTGGTTAGGCGCAAGTGGTGAATTCTTGCGACAGGGAAAGAATTCGCTTTATTTCATCGCTGCCGCCGTCGGCGCGTCGCAAGTTTTGACGCAAAATGTGAGCTGTATTTCAGCACTAATAAAGTACCGCCGCCGCTGCTGGCTGCCGCACAGCGCGCCACGCGACGCGATGAAATAGTGGCGCGTAATGGAGTGAATGCGGGTGAGAGGCGGTTTGAGGCAGCGGATGCCGAGGCTCGAGCAAAACGGCGCAAAAACCGCTACCGAAAAGAGTCCATAAACTGTAACAACGCGCCACTAACTTGTAAGTTAATAATCAATTGTTTACTTCGCCATTCTTGGGTTTCTTTTATATTTTAACTTTTTTTTTCTTCTTTGTTATATCGAAGAAAATTGATACCGAAAATACACGTAATTGAAAGGACTGTATATCGATAGCCGCGATGGAAAATTGTAAGTTGAAATTGGAAATTGGAAATTGAAAAGCCAAGAACAAGAGAATAAGAGAGAAACAATGAAAGTCGGTTGGTTATTACTAATCATCGGTTAGCAGCCAGCCGAAGAGCCCCCCGCCCCCCGCTAATGCAAGAGGGTTGGTTGGACATGATTACGGAAGGAACAGATTTGACGGCATAAAAATAAAGGCACGAAGCTCGCGAACTAACAGGCAAAGTTTTAATTGAATCCTCGTTTCTTTTGTGCTTTTCTTTTCCTTGCACACCCTCCTCCTCACATCTCTTGCCTCGTCCGAGGAATTACTTTGCGATACGCGCGCAGATTTGCAGAGCTTGCAGTTTTATTATCTCCTTCGGTCGATATTAATAACTAGGAATACAAACAAGCAAAGTGTATGGCCTAGTTATACTTTGGGGGTTGATAAATTGATTAATAAAGAAAAGCGCAGCGCAGTTGAGAATCGAATTATCATATCGGCGATGGAATTGTATTATCGAATTATTGTCAATTTGTTATCTGCCTTGCGTTACGGTGGATGAAGTATTGCGAGTGTTTGCCAATGTTGATTGATTCGCTTCCTTGGGGGGATGATTGGAGGGTCGGGTGGAAAATTTTCAACATTTATCATTGTAAATAAACGAGAATTTTTCGCAATGTCTAAAAGTATTTACTTGCTCATACTTAATAGGAATTATTGATTGATAAGAGAAAAGTTTTAGTCAATAAATCTTTTTTTTTTTTTTTTGATTTTTTATGTTTTTAATAATTTGTTGTGATGGACGTGTGGATATTGTTAAAATAAATTGGTTTTTAGGTTAATTTATGGGAAAAATAACGCAAAAACCGATTTTAAACTCAAATTTTATTTAAATTTTATTTTTTAAATTTTGAACTGTTTTAAAGCGTGCAAAGTTAAAATAAACGAATAAATATAACGCGGGCGCGTAATTTAAATTAGGAGACAGTGTGAAGTGTGTACTCATCCCCCCTGATTAACTTTTGTCTGGTAGCGCAGCGCAGCGCGCGTCCAATTAAAATATACTCCCTCATCTCGCCCGCATTTATTTATAATCCTCGGCGGCACGCGGCGCACGTTGCGTAATATTCGAGTTTAGTTTAATTCGCGTTTGAGCCCGCTCTCGCGAGAGGACGCAAAAGTTTACGACAAACCCGATTGCGCAAACAAAACCGGAAACTAAATCCAAAACGACATTAATAGTCTCGTGCGCCTAGTTTGCCGATATGCACTTTGGAAACTCGACACATATACGAGTACAACACAAATCATAATTAATGCGTGTGTGCCTCGTATCATATCGCGGGCGTTTTATTTAATCCGGTAATAACTGTCACAATCAAGTGGATTTATTTTTATTTTTACTATGTTTTTTCATTCGATTGTTCGCAGGGTGAACCGCATGTTTTGTGTTTAGATTTCATTTTCTCGCTCGCGGAGAGAGCGATTGTTTACTCGACGGTCGTCGCGCTGGTGGCAACACAACGGAAATATAATTTCGGCCGCATGCTCACCGGGGGACGCACGCTTTTGCTAGGATTCAGGCAAAAGTTTTGTTTAATTTAATTTCCTCGGTTTCCGGCGCGCGCTCCGCGCCGTCGACTTGCGTGTGTTTTAGTTTTTGGTGCAGGTTTGTCTAGTTCATCTGGCTGGCGCGAAGTTTATTTATCATTTCGTGGATGTTTTCAAAGGGCGAATAAAAATAACGCGATCAGGATTGAATTGGCGCGAATCCAATTTTAGTCTAGACCAGACTACTTATACGCCAATTGAATATTTGTTTTGGGTGGAATTTTCCTATTTTGTTTAAGTGCTGCAAAAGTTTATTTAAGAGGTGACTTTGAATCGATTTGTTTATTATTATAAACCAAAGGAGACCTTGACATTATACCCACATGCTTTGTGTTGGATTTTTTTTTTAATATTTGAGTGAATTTTTAATACGCATCCAATTAATTTACGCCATGTTTACTATAACTTACACTTCCTTTGCCCTTCGAATTTTGCATGCATACGTAATAAATTTCCTGTTCATTATCATTTGATTTGAATTTTTTTTGCTTTTTTTAAATTACATTACATCGATGACCTCATTCGATGAATGTATTCTTCGAGTACAATTCGAGAAATGAATATGTACGGCTAAAATATAATATTCATACGGGTAAAGTTTGTATTATGTTGGCTGTCGTCGTTGTGGTCCCCTCATCATCTCATCAATCACCGTCATGATGTGCTTCCAGCAGCCACATTAGCGTCGAAGAAAATGTGCGCCACTTTCGGTAGCTACATGAATGCGTGGTGTGCTTCTCTTCGCTCGTAATGATTCGAAAAGCATACGTTGGCGGCGGCGGCAATGACGGTGTGGGAAAGAGAAGAGTTGCACATTAGGCAATCGAGCGCGCACGCTTCCTAATCCATTAGCTAGATCTGTAATCTATTAATAAGAAACAATAAGCGAATGGCAGGCGTTGGGCTCGCTCGCACAAAGCGACAAAGGCGAAAATCGATAGCAATTAGACGACTAGACGAGGGATTTAGGAAGAAAGGACTCTTGGAAAATTGGATTCTATACATTGTACACGTTGAATTGGTTTTGGGTTGCTATAAATAAAATTAGCAACATTTCTATAGAGTTTAATGATCATTTTGTGCTCTTTTTAATGACTTTTTATGTATAATATTCAATTAGGTAAAATTAAATTTAGAATTTTTATCCTATGCTATTAAATATTAAACTCAATCGTTTTACTTAAAATTTGAATATTTTGTGTAATTTTATGATTTTTGAATTTTTAAAAATTCTGAATGCTACACTTTTGTCATTTGACTGTCTCCTATGTTTTATGACTTGTTTTGTATGTGCACTAGTCACTATCGATTGAAATTTATAACCAACCGCTTTGTGCACGAAACGTACGCGGGCCGATGTGGTGGCAGCGCCGGCACGAACGCGCAGCGATGCTAAATTAAAGTAAAAGCTTAAAAAGGCGAGACGTGAGACGTGCAACCAAAGAAAAACGATGAAAAACACACGAAAAAAAAAACACACACTCCGGTGGCAAGCAGCAGCACGAGCGTGCTCGAGATGGTGGCCTGCTAATGTTGCGAACATTTCAAATATTTGAAATGCCGTGCTGCGCCGTGCACGGTAAATGTGAGCGTTCGCGAGGAAAAACCAGCGGAATTCGTTCGAATCAGTTCGACTCCCAGCTCCGTTCGCTGGCGTGCGACATGGCGAATAATGAAAAATTAAACTCGCCGGACTGCGCTCGGACTATGTAAGCGATCCAGCAGTAAAAAACAAAAAAAAATCAACGAAAAAAGGAAAATCAAAGGGAAAAATTCGATAGACAGATATACTGATACCACAAACATAGGTATAATGATGGTTTTAAATTAAACATTGAAATAACTTTGCATTTTAGTAATAATTGCGCTTGCAATTACACTTTACGAAAGAGTTTCAGTACGCTGTTCGGAACCACTACTTAGAACTAGAAGTAGTGTGCAGGCAGCGGAATGAGATGGCAAACTTTGCAATACCAACATGGCGGCCACACCAGGCAAAGCCTGGCAATGGCAAGCAGGACGCTTCCGCAACGGTGAACACGTCAATAATGTAATTTATAGACTGGTAGAAACAATGCTTCCTTCGCACTCGTCTCCTCCATCCACCCCAATACCTACTCTAGTGGTTCTTGTTCTGTGTTGCTACGGTTGCCTGCGGCGGTGGAAAAGTTTTCGGTTTCGGTTTCGATCATTTTTGATCGGGGCTTGTGCAGATTTCGGCCACTGCATGAAATCCGGCTTTATCTAAAACTAAACTAAAGTCTACAACTTGTGCCAGCCAGTTAGTAACAGGAGGCGGTCGAGCGCGCGCTCACTGAACACGAAAGTTATGATGAATAATAGACTTTGGATTTCACACAGCGGAAAATGACGCAGTCGTAGACTGTGTAACTTTACCTACAGAGAGCATATGCAGAATCCAAAAGCTTGCTGCAAATGGTTGCAATTTCATATCGTGTGTGATGTAAGCGCTCCATTCATGCCAAAATTAGTTGAAACGTTTAAACATATTGTGCTGACGCGCAAACTAAGTCAAAGTAAATTGTTGCCAAAAATATCCTAAGCTGTCAAGTCATAAAGTTTCATTTATTTTTCAACACAGCAATTTTTTTTTTATGTAACTTTTATCACCATAGCAACAAAATGTGCTGGGTGCTCAATAGAGAACTCGCCTCGACGCGGTCATAATCCAATTCTAATGACAGCACTTATTGCTTCTAATAATGTGTGCGTTTCACGATTCATCACAAATTGTCGCGAATGCGAGATCTCATTAATTCGGCCGAAATATCGCCGGCGGGCAATTAATAAAAATTATGCGATAGCGCTGGAAAAATTGCGCTCGACCGCTGTCCGAAGCAAACAGCTGATGTATGATGCATGACGAAGTGTTAAGTGCGATGATGAATTATTACTCTGGCGTACGGAACGTGATGAACTTTTACGATAGCGATAACCGTGGAATATTATCGCGTAATATTAAAAAGTTTTTTTTTTTATTCGGTGTATTTGTGTGCGTTTGTAATTTGTGCTTGGTTGCAGAGATAAGCTGCGGTTATTTATTAGTTTAATTTCCGGTAGTTGTATGTTGCCTAGTTCGCTTCGATTTCGTTTAATTAAGTTTAATTGTTTTATTTTTGTGCGTTTTGAGATAATATGCATTTTTTAGTACTTGACCTTTATCAGACAATCAGACATAGATTTAATCACTGATTATGTTATTATTTGGAAATATTATTGTATTATTCAATATTCTCGGTATAATGATTTATTCATTGATGAAAAATAGTTACAAAGTACAATTTTTCATTTTTATATTAAATTTTATTAAATATTTTAACTTATGAGTTATTTTACATCAATAACATATTTTTCTACTTTCATCTTTAAATTGCAAGTTTTTCAAAAGTTTTGAGACACAAAAGTGGCACTTTAAACACGACCATGACTAAAGTACTTTAGTCACGGGTTTTAGTCACGGGTGGAGTTGTTAAATACTATTTTGTTGCAAAATTTACTTACAAAGTATAATTTTTAATTTTTCATCAAATGTGATTAAATATTTTAACTTATGTGCATATTTTACGTCAATAACATATTTTTTAGCACTTGACCTTTCT